TCGAAAACCCTCCAATGTGGCTGAATTACAACAATTCTGCAAAGATGAGTGGGCCAAAATTCCTCTACAGCGCTGTAAAAGACTCATTGCCAGTTATCGCAAACGCTTGATTGCAGTTGTTGCTGCTAAGGGTGGCCCAACCAGTTATTAGGTTTAGGGGGCAATCACTTTTTCACACAGGGCCATGTAGGTTTGGATTTTTTTTCCCCCTTAATAATAAAACCCTTCATTTAAAAACTGCATTTTGTGTTTACTTGTGTTATCTTTGTCTAATATTTAACTTTGTTTGATGATCTGAAACATTTAAGTGTGACAAACATGCAAAAAAATAAGAAATCAGGAAGGGGGCAAACACTTTTTCACACAACTGTATGTCTTGTTTAAAATCTTGCCCGAACAAACATTTTAAACTGCAGGCTGCTGAGCGCAGAGAGAAGAAAAAAAATCAAAATAGTTCAATGAATATAGCACATAGAGCCTTTATTTTGTTGGAAAAATGTTGGATATATAGATCCCAGTGTTTTCCAACCTTTGTAAAATAAATGATCAGGGAAATTCAACTTGCTTTTTTTTCTTCTTCTTCATGAGTTATGGCGTGATAACCGTGTAATGCTTCATAAAAGACAGTTTTGAGTTCTCTCTACTTTTAGCTGTGATTGTGCTGTTGCCCTTGAGGTGCAGGACGTTTATATTGCTGTGAAAAACAAGGCCACAAAGAGTAAAATGTGACAGGAGCAAAAAAAAACCCCGAAACTGCTTGGGGTTCAGAGGGTTAAAGGAAGACCAGGTGACATTTAAACCCATTCAACAAAAATGAAATTACTACCAACAATTTCCAAAAGCATATCATAGTCTCATAATTTTTAATGTGCTGTCTCTAACAAATCCAGGCAGCTTTTATTGTCAATGTATTTCTGTAAAGCATGAAAAATAACTTGAGGACACCTGAAAACAGATTAATCACAGTGAATATCGTGTTTAGGTTGCAGATATTGTTGTGGTATAAGTCGGCTAATTGTTGCGTGGTATTGCAGTGCTGACTTTCAAATCAATCTGCACCTCAAACTGCCTGAACCTACAGCAGTGACTACCTGGCACAACCCAGCCCAACTGTAACACAACATAACCTACTTTGGTAAACAGTCAGTGGGAATGTTAAGTACACATTATTAGTAACCCATGACCCAAACGATGGTTTGGTCTATTTTTTTTTACAGAGAACTCATAGTCGTACAGTGTTTGATCACATATCAAAGACACAAAACATCTGGAAAGTATGAAAGACAGAATAAGTAAATATGGTAACTGCTTCACACTATTGTTGCCTTATCAACATTTAACCCACTCACAGTAGGGCTGGGCGGTATGACCAAAAATGCATATCACGGTATTTTGTAAGATTCTGGCGGTTTCACGGTATATCACGGTATTTTTTTTCTCACATTAAAGCATTAATTAATTAACGCCGAAAAGAAACGGCCGGCCAGCCAGTGGTGAACAGCTGTTTGTGTGGCATGTCTTCCGTTACGTCACTTCCTGTTTCCTTCACCTACATTCCCCTGGGTCCTAAGCCCCTCCATGGAGAGAAACGGGATTAGACTGTAGGATTTAGTTGTTAGTAGGTGTTGTTTAGGTTTATTTCTTTAGTTATATATATATATATATATATATATATATATATATATATATATATATATATAATTTTATTTTATTATTTTATTATCAGAACAGTGAAGAAAAGGTTACCCTGAAAATGCACACTCTGGTACAGTAGGTGGCGGTATGCACCTATGCAAGTTGGTAGCGATCCACCAATGGAATTTAAAGAAGAAGCCCCTCCATGTACAGCTTCTTATCAACGTACATTTATAACAAATACCACACATACTACGGTAATCAGCGTTGCATGTGTCTAACCTAAATACATTTTGTTGTTCAGTCTGTGTTCATCCTGCATTGCTCTTTTCTGTTCTTTAATGTAACGTTACTGGAGCGACAGAGCCTCTCCCACCTGTTAGCGAGCCTTACCCAGCATGCAGTTCGGCGGTGAAATTTTATAAATGTACAATTATTAGTTACAAATTGTTTATGTGTCACAAACTGTTGTGTCATGGTGTTTTGCCCTGTTAAAGAGCGTTAGTTGTGGGTTGTTAATTGTTGTTATAAAGTTATGACCATGACTAGGGTTCTCTCTCAATACAGCTAAGAAAACTAGCTTCGACCGGAGTACTCCCAGCGGCAAACAATATATTTTGCTGCCTGTTGAAGAGCAAAATAAGTTGTTTCGGCTGTGTACTGGTATAGGAAAAATTCATATTGTACGGGAAATTAATACCGGTATACCTCCCAGCCCTAACTCACAGTCTAACTACTCTGTGATCAGCCCAGTCCGAGGCCTCCCATGACCTCAAGTCCACAGCCTGTGGCGGACTGCTGGTGCGTCCTCAGGTTGCAGATCCAAGCGAACCTCTTCCCACACTGGTTACAGCTGAAGGGTTTCTCCCCGGTGTGAACCCTCTGGTGCTTCTTCAGGTTGCCGGCCTCCGAGAAGCGTTTCCCGCAGGTGTCGCAGCGGAACGGTTTCTCCCCCGTGTGGACCCTCTCGTGGGCCTCCAGATTGGACAGGCCGGAGAAAGCCTTCCCACAGGCTCGGCATATGTAGCTCTTTCTACGTTGTTCGCAGGCCGCAATGCTGTCCGTCTGGCTTTTGTTGTGGCGAGCCAGAAGGCTGGCTCGGTGTCGCGCGGCGATGGCCACCTCGATGCTGGCCAACGCCGCTGTGGATCCCCTGAACGATGGAGCCGCTGTGGAGCTCATGATCTTGTTGATTGAACTGAAACTAGAGATACTTGTTTTGTCAGCTCTGTGGGTGTTACTAACGGCGGCCGTGGCGGTGGACAGTGTGGTCTGTGCAGAGGGAACGCTGTGCTGTTGCTGAGAAACCCTGTTCCTGTCACGATGCCGCTGCAGGTGAGCCTGTGCACTTCCTATCATGACTGTTTTTTTGCTCCATGGAGGCTGGGAGGACGGAGCGTGCATCGACACAGGTATGGACATGGGAGTCTCTGGAGCCAGACAGAAAAATGAAACAAGGAGTCAGCACACATTCATTAGGTTGTTTTCTCCGATTTACTGAAAAATGACACGGGGCTTTTCTGTCCACATTCTACAATAAATCGATACAACAGTTAGTTCAGACCAATAACGTGATTGGACGAGAGGCATTGCTGATATAAAGTCCCAGGACTCTATAGCAGCACTATAATACAAAGAATACGCCCAACATGTCAAACTAAAGATCTGATTGGTTGAACACTATGACAATCAACAATATCTTCCCCATTCACTTAAACTGCACATGGATTCAACACTCTACAAATGTAACAGTTCCTTTTTGTATTCAGAAATTGTATATTTTAAATGATCAGATGCGTGATCAGACTTTACTCGTAAGGCTGTTTTAACTACATTCCTTAATGACAATTCACCTGATATCACTTAAGTTTTTATGCTGAATGTAGGCTGCATCCAATTCAGCTGCTATAACGGTGACATGATGTTTACAAGTGCAAACAGCTGAAAATATATATGTATATACTCAATCATATGTCACTCTTTATTTATATGGTACTTTTCATAAAAACATTTGAGCTAAATAAAAATATATGAAGTCTAATACTTATATGTAGTCTGTGTGTGTGTGTGTGTGTGTTAGATAAAAGTTGTGTGACAGCCGATCATTCTTGTCACATTATGCATCTTTGTGAATTGAATTGTTGGTAAAGATACACAATGTTGTAAACACTGTGATCTGACAGAGATCATAAAATACATAATACAATGAACAGCTGATGCAGCTGTGACACGTCATTTATTTTTTATTGATGTGGCTTTTAATGACGAGGCGATGATGTCACATTATTTTAAACGCCTGTCGCCTCGACTCCTCTCTCCTCGTGTCTCTTCCCCGCCTCCTCGGCTCGCATCTCCCTTAGCGGGACTAAGACGCGAGGCAAGGAAAGGAATCGAGGAGGCACAAAATGGGGAAATGAGAACGACCCTAGCACTTAGTGAACAGTACATAAACTGCACAACAATAAAACCAACTCAAATCAATCAACACAGTCAAACAAACAATATCGGTGACATAATAGTTTCTGTTGTCTGTACACTGCAGAAACCAACCGAGTGATCATCGCTATAATCTGATCATTGGAAAGCTTGTTCCTCTCAAAGGTGATCTATTTTGAGTGTAAATAATACTGGATTAGTGCAATCAGGAGCCAAAACAGAGACATCATAGGTCTGCCATCTCAAGTTTAGCATCTTAGTGTGGATGTGGAAGCACCCATCTAATCAAAAGTCTCAGTTTATAGCCCTTCAAAATCAGAATGATATGACTGTAATTCATGCTTGTTTTTTTGTTTTTTGTCTAAGTTATCAGTGCCTGACATGATCATTTCTGCACAACAACAACAACAACAAAACAAGAAGGACAACCAGCGACACATTAACCCTCTACAGAGGAGACGATCTCTCACCTTGTGACACAGTTGGCTGGATCGGACCGGAGGAGTAACTCGGCCCTCTGCTCATCCTCACTGCTGTGGAAAGTGAGACTTGTGGTGGCTGCAGCACGGATTGAGGTTCGGTCTCCACAATAATAACTCCATCCAGGTCACACTCTGCCGAGTCATCAGTGGTGAACGGACATGAAGGGCCACTGCGGGCCGACATAGAGTCACTATCAGGAGCCCAGCGGGTGAAGAAGGTCTCCAGTTCAAACAGAGAGTATTCAGAATTGTCGTTACTGGACCTCTGCTGTTCTTGTGTTTTGGGGTTGGCTGGCGTGTTGGTGTCTGGTACCCTCAGCTGGACTGCCACTGTACTGCTGGGGTCTTGCGATACCACAGGCGTCGACTGAGGAGCTGCAGACTGGGGAGGAGGAAGGTCGGGGGACAGTGAGCAAAAGAGATTAAGACAGATTAAGACTCTTAATGACATTGATCTCTCACTCAGGACTTGATGGATATCTAAACAAATAGTTGTCATATTGAGATATATGCTGAGTCACTTTCTTACCAAGATTTAGATGAGAAAACAGATTGAATTCTGTCCTACCACTGTCTGTGCGTTAAGTACGGAGCTGGAGGTAAAGTAAACATCTGATATACTTTTGGTGCAAGCAGGGGCTCCTTAAAGGGCGTCTCCATTATTTTTTGTATTATTCTGTAGCTTCCCATTCGTGTTCCTAATGTATTCAAATCTGAACATTGAAATATTTTGGTCAAAGTACATACGTTTTAGCGTCAAAATGCTATTTTCCCAAGTTCAAACATTTTCCCCCCGTGACGTATGTTTTTGCATGGAGACGTTGCTCCATTTACACTTATCCGTGAGTCCGTGTGTCAGCCGCTTTAACTTGCAGCCCTTCCAAACTGGGAACTGAAGCCGCTCTCTTCAAAGCCACCTGACTCCATTGACAGAAACAGTACTTTTACCTCACACGGGAGTGTTCAAGAAAGACCGAAATCCAAACTAATCCCTTCAGTTATTCTCAAACTTAGTACAGCTGGTGCTAGTGTTTATACATTATTCATTAACTTATTGATTAGCTTACTTTGGTTACTGCTTTTCGCTAACGGCTGAGAGGACGTTTCAATTTGCAAAATGGAATAGAACGCGGATGGGGTCGACCTTAAAGATAAGGTGTTGCAGGTTCTTCCTCTTGGCTAACTAGCTTAAACGAAGTCCTTAAAAGAATAAGTAGGATTTTTTTTTTGAAAACAATGCAGTGCTGTAGAGACAGAGATCCTACCCTCTGCCTGTATTTTCGTATTTTGCGGTGTTCGGGACGTTTCTGGACATCAACCTCTATAAAAGTGTAGAGACCAGGAGCCAGATAGTTGGCATGCATCCAAGATTAAGCTACAAAATGGCAGAAACAGCGGCAAAAATATATGTGAATATGGCGAGGCTAAACATGGACACATCTTGTTCCAAAACGAGAGCGTGCGCTCCTTCTGTCCTTGAGCCGGAGAGGAGCCAAATTTGAATGTTGTGTTTTACAAACCAAATAATCTTCAAGAATATACATCGTCAGTGACATCATATTTCTGCAAATGTGTTGAGGATGTGGTGATAACAGCCAGAAAGCCTGGATGAACAGAGAGGTGAGGGCAACTACCCGGAGCCCACAACTTGCCTTTCGGTCAGGTGACCAGGAAGCATACAACACCACCAGAATGAGACTTGTTTTGGCCATTAATCCACACCCGTAAAAGCATTTTAAGTCACGGACCCCACCACCAACATCCGTGTGTATTGCTCGACAGCAATTCAATTGTGTATTCATGTTTTCATCTTGGTTGGAGATATTTTTGAATCGGTGCTTGTGTGAACGGGATTCAGTTTTTTTTTTTCAAAGAACGAAGCAGGAATCATCACTGAGAATCTGTCATGGTCATCTCCTCCCCGCTAAAGAAAGCTCAGAAAAAGCTGGATTTCTTAAACGAATATGTGCACAGGAATTTTCAGTACGATTTTCAGACGTTTTATAAACTTTTTTTGGCTGTCTTTTGTTCGGAATCTGTCAAAGTCTGTTTGCACTGTTACGCTTTCATTTGTTGGGCGCTCAGCTCCTCTTTACACCATTTCTGGGACAACTTTCCTTCAAGTCAAACTTGAGAAGGAAAAATTCCCGTGCCTTTGTATGTGTGTGTAGTGAGAAGAGGCTCCAACTTACATTTCATTGTTTGAACCTGTTTTGTAAAATAATGAATACAGGAACCTTGTAACCATGAAGTCACTGCGGCAAAAAAATGTTCGCGCACACCAGTCCCTGTGAAACCACAAATTGTAATTTTTACGTCATGTTAGTGTTCTGATTAATTAAACAAGATATATTATAAGTAAGCTTCAGTGTTGGTACATGTATATTTTTACTTAACAGCTCACGCTGAAAGAAGGGGAATAAAGTGTTGAGGTATAATGTGCTCTAATTCTCCTCACTGTGAGACGGGATTTAAGAGGTTGGAACCAAGTGATTCCTCTGATGATTGGTCTACGAGCCCTGAGGCGTAAACGTGACTGAATACAGTGCATGTCTGCATGGGTTCTTACATCCCTAACAAAGGCTGTTACTGTTCCAATACCTCAGCGCTTCTTAACGTTCTTAATGTGACCTTTTGATCTTTGAACTTTGACCGTCTGTGATTGTTAAATGTGCTGGACATCTTTAATATCTGAACCACTAACATTTACCCCGCACAGACTGACATACAACCGTAGACACAATATGAAATTAAAAAAAAGTTACTTCAGCCCAGACTTGGATTGTAAAGCCCAGAAGGTGGCTTGGATGACACAGAAATGCTCATGGAGAGTCCAAAAATGACTGAAAAGAATGTATGTGCTTCAGAAATGTAGTGAAATTGAATTCTAGACTGAGGAATACAGACGTTCAAGGTAATCTGTACATATGGTTATTATGAATTAGAAGAATGTACTGTATGAGTTAAGAGATTTTTATGAGAACATTGTGTCACAATTTTGCAATGTGTGATTTTATAATAAAAACACAAATTCACATGTTTAGTTAAAAAAAAATGTTTTAATGATTTACATCACAAACTGTGGACATTAAGCAGGATTGTTGTTACAAAATTGTGACACAATTGAAAAAGCTAGTGTTACATTGACAGTGTATGTTGATGCTACAATGGCTTGTTTTGTACATGATGATCGTCACACTGACACATTCCTCAAGAAGAGAATTATTCTTGGAGATAAAACAGGAGAAATCCTTTTGCATATCCTGGATGCATTTCCACTGGAAGAACGTGATTAAAATACTATTAAAAAAATGCACACAATATTGCATTTAATGCATCAATAGAGCTGCTGACCGAACATTTCTCCAAACAGTGTTTGAACTCACCACTCTGTCCCAAATGTCTGATTACCTCAGTGGCTGTGAGTTGTCATTTGTTTTGTAGATTGGTATTTATGACAACCATCGAAAACCGCCCTGCAACTCTTCAATTACTAGAAATTTAAAAATCATAAGCCGTGCCACTTATTTACCTCCACGTCAGAGATCTAAGCCTATATCTGCAACAGGCACATATATTAGCCACAGACCTTGATTTATAATTCCCTACGTTTATTATCATATACATGATAAACAACAACAGGGTCATGTCATACTCACAACACTGCTGCTCACTGTTTTATGCACTAATTATTATCAATTTCTTCTCTCAATGACACCCACTCTTTCCTGCAAGGATGTTTCACATTAAAAGCCTTGTAGTAGCTCAGCTTTGCCCCTCCTGCTCACGGTAGGCTTTTAATGTGAAACATCCGTCCAGGAGTTTCATAGAAAGTAGCGCTCAAAAAGATGTAGTAGAAGCAACTGGAATCAGTTACTGAATAAAAATGGAATACAGTTGTGTAATTAAGAGAACGTGTTCTAAAAAGAGTAGTGAGTACGACATGACCGTCGGGTCACTCTGCTGGAAATGTGTACAGGCTGAATTTACCACGTGAGCCATTACGGTATCGGTAACTCTATCCCTCCTTAACAGTTAGGGACCAGCCTTAACTTGTTTGTGATGGCTATTATTTGAGAATTGACAAGCAATTTAGAGAAATATAGAGATATGTATGTAAAAAGATGGTTGTCATTTTAAATTGTACTGAGTTTGGACTGACATCTGGGGTTGGAAAATAAATTCCATATAGAATATTTTGGCTGCAGGCCGGATGTGGTCGTTATCTTGCTGCTGTCTGTATATTTCAATAGCGGTTTGAGTTTAAAATGTAAGGCTTGTTATTTACGCCTCTTTGTGTGATTTTGATACATAATAACAACATGTTTAGGTCTTTGTCTAGGATGTCCCTGACTGCATGTCGTAGGTTTGTGGGTGGTGTCTCTTTTGGTGTTTTTTCAGGTTGCTTGGGTCAGAGAACCTCTCAGGGCAGAGCGAGCACTGGTATGGTCTCTCCCCGGTGTGGATGTTCCTGTGGATCTTCAGGTTCCAGAACTGGGAGAATTTTTTGCCGCAGATGCTGCAGCCAAAGGGCTTCTCTCCTGTGTGAGTCCTGAGGTGGGATTCTAAATTTGCCGGCGAGGTGAACCCCTTACTGCAGAAGCTACAGATGCAAGCCCTCCTCCTGGGGATGTTCTGCTGCATGTTAGCACTGCTCTGACCCCGGCAACTGTCCTGACCCCGACTCTGACCTGGGTCCAGGAACTGCTGGGGCCCCTGTATCTGACCTAAAACCTGAATGGGGCTGGACTCCTCTGACAGATCGATAACAGGAGTCTGCTGCTGAAAGGACAGAGAGGTGTGGAAGCCCCTAGAGCTTTCAACAACCAACTCCTTTCCTGCTGAATTCTCAACAGCCAATCCCCTCCCAGAACCGGCCGGCTCTGCTCCAATGAGTGCGGTGGGCAGGTACGAGAGGGGGGCGCAGTGAGAGGACGGCCCCGGGAGACTATCTTCATGACAATAACTACCCCCCCCATTGGTCCACAGTGAAGAACGCCCATAGCTGACCTCTGAGAAGCCTGGCCCAGACTCCTGCAGGTCACACAGCTGATTGGTGGACGTTTGTGTGATTTCATCGAATGGCAAAACTGCTCTGTAGTCATCGGTGCTCGACTCCACCAAACCTGGAGACAAAGATAGTTATACTTAGTGGCTTCTCTCTTTCACACTCAAAGGTGGACAAATACAGTTTCTGCTTCCAGGAAATGAAGTCCATCCTTCGGTGCGTAAGAGGTTGTTTTTTCTTTTCTGCAAGCATCTTTTGGACTTGACTACAGTATTTGATTTCTATATGAGAAATATATGGACATAAGCAATACGCTGGTATCTTATTGCCGATATTGTGCTCATGTTGTAGTTTGCTTTCACAATGTTTAATTTGCCTTGCCACTGAACAGGAAGAGGGCATTTTATTTTGAAATTGCTAACAAATACTAAATACAAAGTGGCCATGCTTGGTAAGAGACATCTAAACTGGCATTTACACTTTGTATCGTACAGAGTCAGCAGATCTCTGGTGACGTCAGAGGTGTGTGCTAATAGTGTGATCACCGCTTCAGATGGAAGGCGGATGTGTCCACTCACCCTCTTGTATGTTGAGGCCTGACTGGCTCCGAGTCCTCGTCGCCGGCTCCACCTCCTCCATCTTCACCAGCACGACGACCGGCTCCTCCTCGTTCTGCACACGTACAAAGCAGAGTGCAAACGGCATTGAGAAGAAGCGGCTTCATTCAAAACATGATGACGTGGCTGCAGAGTAAGATATTTCCGCCATCGGTAAAAACAATTCAGTCAGTGACGGAAAATCATTTGTGTTAACGCGTTTGTCCTGTTTGTCAGTCATTGAATATTCCGTCTTATGTTGTGTAACAAGTTTACTCTTTTCTACCAAGTCGAGCAGTAAATTGAGAGCAAAATGTAAAATCAGTAATGTTTGCTCACTGCAAAATAAAAGCGCTGCACCTCTATGGAAACAGCACAGTCATGGCTAGAGGTAGAGAGAACTCAAACATAGTTACCATGCCATAAATCATAAAAAAAAAAAAGAACGCAAGTTCAATTTCTGTGATAATATATTTTACAAAAATTGGAAAAACACTGGAACGTGGATGTTTCCAAGTGACCACAAGAGTTACCCATTGTTGAAAAAAACAAAAAACATGGAGACTCCACATGCAGCCTGCCGTGCAGTCGAAGTTTCACAGACTTTTTGTCATGTGACTGTTGGTCTCTGACAAGTCAGTCATGGCTTCCCAGTTGTGACGAGTAGCGGAGAATTTCATGTTTTTTTACAGGATCCGGTTAGAGCAAAAGGTTTAATTGTGGCGAGATTTTAAATGAGTCATGTTTTAGATTAATTTAAGCTTCGTTTTGGGCTTTTTGTTTTTCTGACGGAAGTGTCACATGTGTTCAGGGACGATGATGGTTGAGTATGACAAACGGTGTAGTTTTTTTGAAACTCGATTGTTTAAAGAAAACATGCTTTTCAATCCCAGAGGGTTCAGAGGGTAAAACTACTTTTCCACTAATGCATCCACAGACCTACAGTTTCTAAATATAGTTTAACATACACTGTGCTTTAAGATGTACATAGCATCCAACATTGTCAAATATAAAACTAGCATGTTTATAGAGACATAATTATACATATAATGTGCATAACCACCCAATGCATGCCAAAATATATTCCCTTGTTTTTGTATTGTTTACAATTTACAGAAACACCTGACCTGTATAAACACAAAGTGTTGTTGGTTTATATACAAATATATACACCGCTGCTTTCACCTACTTGTGTATAATAGTTCTGTTTGTTTCCAACTATCTTTGTTAGCTTTGTTTTTAGCTATACGTCTATTTCTTTCTTATTTCTATCTTGCTGAAATAAGACAGACGTATATATTTCTTTAAATAGCAGCAATACAAATCAGATTACATTCTGATATTCAAAGTCATGACAACTTCATTCTTTAAAAAAATAGTTTTTTTAACAAGACTTTTCAGTGGTAACAAGCATATTTAATTCTTTAAATGAAATGTTGCGTGTGAAATGTCTGAGAATATACACAGAGTAACAATGCTCTCAAACATTTACTTGGAGTACATTGATACCATTTCCAGACATAGTAAGTGACTGAATATTGGCTGAATTCTGACACGTGTAATTATTTATTCCAACTATATAACCAATGAAAACAACACAATGTGTAACACACAGATCACTTGAGAAACCCCATTTTAAAATTTCCCAACACATAATGGAAGTGGAACCAATGGTTCCACTACATTCCACCAGTCAGTGCACCTCTCACCTACTAGCCAGCGACGCTTGTTCAATTTGTAATCTTTAAACTGCGCCGCCTTCTTTAGGAGACGGCAAATTTTGAGCCACAAACTGATTTGTGGTTAAGTTTGAAGGGCAGCCGAGCTTAAGAGACGCGTGCCTAAACAGCACTGGCTCAGCCTGTGTGTTTAAAAATCTGGCAGTAACCATTTTAATATAACGGCTAAAAGAGTGTGCTGTGGAGGCCTGGTGGTTCAGATGCATACCACACCATAGTTTAATGGCAATTGTTACACACAATGAGCACATTGTTGCACCGTGAACACACACACTGTGCTGACACACTCAACACTTTTCTCTCTGATAACGCTTGTAGTTAGGGCCGGCTCAGGTTTGCCTTATTCCAGCCCCTAGATAAGCTGCTATAGGCCTAGACTGCTGGGGGACATCATAGCACACACTGAGCTCCTCTCACTCCTCCTTTTCCTCTCCATCTGTATATATTCATGCACATTACTACTTTGGTTCTTCCTCAGAGTCTTTGTTCTTTCTTTCCTCGAGGTTTCCATGTAACCTGGTTATGTCTGGACTGCAATGCTCTTTGTCGCCAATGTGTGATTTGTGATACACAAATAAAATGTAATTCACTCTGCAACCTCTGTGTGTCTAATAAAAATAACGAGTGAAACAATTTAATTCCCCAAGAGTTTTTTTAATGAATTCTAACAAAAACTACAGTGACCAGCTGCAAGCAATTACTGAACCTTTTTAAAAAGTAAACTATATATATTTGTGAGTTTTGTTTAGTTTTTTTTTTTTACATCAATCAGAAAGTACTTCGACATACACTAACACATTGTGGGCTTGAGTCTGCACATGAGATTCTTTCATACTAATACAGACTCCTTCTTTAAAAGGTTTTTGGGAAATGAGGCCCAGGACAACGAGTATCCACTCCAGCAGAAAATGTAAATGCGAGTGCAGTATCATCCTGGATGGACGATACTACACATTCTATACGCTACTAAAAATATGTCTCCACTTTTCAGTCTGAAAACTTCAAAAGACCAAGACATTGTGAAGAGAGAGATTTTCAAAAAGTAAATAAAGTATCAGAACTCAATTTGTTTGTCCAAAAGCTGCTTCACTTGAGCATGGTTTGGTTGAGGAAATAATAATACATCTTATTCTTATTTATCTCTTTAAAAACAAAGTCACATTTAAAAAAAGGTTACGGTTATTTTTACAAATTATTTTCATTCTGTTGAGCAGAGTGTATTTTTCTTACTGCCATCATAGAGTCTTTGCTGGATTATTACATCCTACAGCAGATTTCCAGTAAGAGGACAGTTCAGCTCTAGTCCCAGGTCTCCTCTTCAGTAGAATGTTACGGGTGGCTCTTTTGCTGGTGTGTTTTCAGGTTTCTTATCCAGGCGAATCCCTTGCCACAAATACCACAGCTATATGGTTTCTCTCCGGTGTGAACTCTCTCATGTTTCCTCAGGTTCCCGGCCTCGGAGAACATCTTCCCACATGTGGAGCAGCTGAAAGGCTTCTCCCCCGTGTGGACGCGTTGGTGAATCTCCACCTTCTTGGGGCGGTTAAAAGCCTTGCCGCAGTAGCTGCAAACAAACAGTCTTTCGTTGGAGCCCGGTCGACGGAGCACTTTGCTGCTGTCGGCGACGGGCTGGGACGGGGGGAAAGCGGGACCGTAACGATAGCGGCCGTTAACACCGGAAGAGGTTGATGGGAAATCTGTCGCCGCCATCGAGTATGAACAAGATGACCTCATTCCTTCCACTTCAACCACAGAGTGCTTGTCAAAAAACTCCCCAACCAACGCGTCAGCGCTTTTATTGTCGTCACACAACACGTCAAACTGTGAATCATTGCTGCCGCCATCAATATACTGGTGGGGGTTTATTATTTCCTGCAGTGAGTCTCTGCCCTCAACAAAGGCAATGCGTTCACATTTAAGGAGAGGAGAGGAGTCACTGACCTCCACTCCTCTGCTGCTGCCGGTATGCCTCGTCCTGTTGCTCTGGATCTGGGACTGACTGGAAGTGGACTGGGTGTCCTGCAGTTCAAGGCTGGGTCTCTGTCCTGCAGGTCCACGAGAGACACACTCCACCATTCCTTCAGAGAGATGGTGTGGGGCAAAAAAAAGAAAAGAATAGAATGGTTAAAAACTCTTTTAAATTATGCAACATGGCCACAGTTTTTAATTTCTAGCAAAAGCACCAATTTATGCATGAGAGGTTTCACACATTTTACCATCAAAAAGTATGTCTAACAAAAAACGTATATTTTCTCAGACTTGATTAACTCCTCTAAGGCTACAGAAGACATTATTCAGATGTTGTATTCCATGTGTAAAATCAGTGGAGTGCTCCTTTAAAACGAGGAAAGAAGTAGTAAAAGGAATCTGACTGAGTATTCAATGTCAATTTCCAGTGCTCGGCTGTTTTCCATGCTACAGACAGTGGGCGAGTACTCACCATCATCTCCTATAATCGCCACGTCTTCCACCGTTTCTTCAACTCGTGACATGTTAGCCTCCACCTTCTCCTCCTTCACCAACACTGCCTCTGGCTCCACCAGCTCCACATCTGGAGACTGCACAACAAGGCACGTTTGTCACTCGGTCAGCAAAGAGCAGGCTTCTTTTTAGATTCATGTAGCTACAGTAGATTAGTTCGGCACAAACACAACCCTCTGTTGTTTACAGACAACTTCCAGGGTTAGGCTCCATGTGGGATTGCTCGGCAGCCAACCCGTCCCATCCCTGTGTGCTTGATTTTCTACACAAGTCACGGCCACCTTGACTACATCGCTGAGGGCTTACCTTACTTTGCATGCTGTCAGAATGGATCGGCTCGCCGCTTGCGACCGCTGCAGCAGCTCTACTGGACCACAGGGCCACAGCCATCCGTTGCTCAAAGGCACCAACTGCACAAAAACAAGAAAAATGTCTATTATGGAAACACTGAGTGTACATTTCAATGGTCAGTATTGCCAGTGTTACTGCAGTGGAAGCAGAAATGGGAAAATACAAAACTGAATGTGTATTCCACATAACACAGTTGTCTTTAAATAAGTGTCCAAATAGTTGCTATGGAGTGTTTATCCAGGTCAGGGTACTGAGATATAATCTGTTTATATGGAGAACAGAGACGTTTTTCTGTTTTTGTGGTCGGAATAAAAAAACTGACCAATTTTGTTTTTTGCAAATAGCTTTTTTAAATTTTTTTGTTTAGAATTGAAGAATGAAGAAAGGTCTTATTCTGGTCAGTACTATGAAGAACTTCATGATGAAATGTTACCAAAATCGTAACTTTTCATGGAACAATGCTGTGATGAGGATTCCATTTTGTGCCATATCTCAAGTTGTTGTTGTTGAGGGACAACGGACGCTAACAAACAAACAAAACCTGGCACATATACACGTGTTTTCTCCACTTTAAAGCAATATAGTTTTTACATAAACGGAATTAGTTGTAACAATTCACCTAATTATATTTACTATGTCTGACTGCGTAACAGTTGAAGGTACAAAAACACTCTGAAAGGTCTTCTCTATGATTCACTATAAGGACAGACCACATCAGACACAAAAGAAACCACACAGCCAGTTAAATACAAACACAATATATTATATAATCAAATTCATTCAATATACGGGATGCAGCAAAACAAAACAACCGTGAGGCTCCCGCTCTACTCCGGCACAATAAACCAAACATTTACAAATCGTAGCTCGAACCCCGAGTCCCATCAGTTCCAAAGTTTCTTAACGTAACGCAAAACAGTCCGATGACAAAATCAATCCCAGACGCAAAGTCAATGACAGGCGTGGCTCCTTAATCCGTTGAACACACGCTACCTCACCACCGCCGGTTTAGCTGGTGGTAGTTCGTGCCGAATCCCTGTGCAGACTCCTGCTGTGTAATCCCAGGAAAGTTCCTTTCTGGTCCGTTGCTGAGCAGTCACCGGCAAATCGTGCTCTCCGAGTCCACTAAACACAGACTACTTCCCCTGTCGGCGCGCACCTTCCCCCCCGTCACAATTAATACAAACCAGGACAACTAAAATAATAACAATAACAGACCCTATTCATACCCTGTGTTAATGATTACAGGCAGCTAATAACATTCATAAATACAGCACTTTTAATGTGAAGGAAAATAGGTTCACATTCACAATTGTCGTACTCAAAGGCAGACTTTTGCGATCATTACAAAGTAAAAAAAAAGTATCCTTAATTAAAAAAATACATTTCAATGACTTGGACCTAAACATCTGCCAAAGGTATCTGAATGTCCCTGTGTGTTAGACAATAACACAACTGGGGAGGTTATTACGAGTATATATGGGGTGTCCGGACACATCGCAGGGAGAGCATGTGATGAAAGAAAGATGATTTTTCTCGTTTTTGAACTACAGCCATCTATCAGTTAAGAAATGATAACCACTAACAAGCTGCCAACCAGCAGGGTCTATCGTATTAAAAAAACATAATCTAGGGATGTATAGGAATTAGTGCTGGGCAAGTTAACGCGTTATCGCGTTAACGCATTCATTAATTAACGCCGACAATTATTTTATAGCGCGTTAATGCATTTTTTTATTTTGAAAGTCCGTGGAGGAAGTCTTCAGCAGACTACGTTGATGCAGTGTGTGGGAGTACACGGAATACACGGCGTTACAACGTGCACCAGCTGTTTCTCTCCCTGGAGACTACTGGACATCACTGCGGTAAAGTCAGCAGACACTTGTAGTGCACCTATATGCTGAAATTCATGGTAAACGCATTCAAACGGCACAGGTCGGGAGCGAGCGAAGGAGAAAGTTAGCGGAAAGATTAAGGAGAAAGTTAGCGGAAAGATTAACGTGAGACAACATCTGGTTTCTTCAGACGAACATCCGGTTTTCAGAATAAGATGCCGACAAATTATGAATTATATTCACATTAAGTATAAAATATGCTACCTGCATCTCGTGAGTTAAAGGGAAAATATACATATGATATAAGAATGATATAATATAAGAAATATGATCGCTACTGTGTAAAGGGAATACTGCTGTTAAAAAGCACCTGATGTGTTTAAAGTGTTTGTAAATCAGATGTTATTGCCCTTTTGTTCATATAGCAGTACTTTTAAAATAAAAGTGCGCAATACACTACTTTTGAATTCATTATTGAACTTTGCCATAACAATCCATGCGATTAAATATTTTAATCGTTGCCCAGCACTAATAGGAATATAAAAACACCCACAATTCGGGCCATGTCCACACTACTCCGTTTCCATTTGAAAATGCATATGTTTTGCTACATTTACACTGAGCACTGAAAACAGGAGTTTGAAAACGCTCCCGAGGACAGATACGTTTGAAAACACCGGGTTGCATTGTGGACGGTCGAAAACGGATACATTTAGAAACGATGACGCCCATACCCGCGTTCGCTACTTGATTGGTTCTTAGCAGTCATGACGTGTCCTTCCCTGATTCGTCACACTCATATCATTATCAGAGATTGGAGACTAGAAAAATATATATGCTGATGTCCTGATTGCATATGTCAGTAAAACTTGATCTCACACTGTGATGGTTAACATTAAACTGTGTAAATAATTTGTGTTTCACATGCGTGCCGAACCATGAGGGGGATCCGTACGGATCAACAATGGTCCGTTGCGCCGCTGCTATCGATACATCAACGAGCATTAACATGTAGATGAATTCAATCTGATCCGTCCGCAGTCTGTCATCCACCGCCACTATGTTCACACAAGCACAGCACACATGATCGGACAAACACGCTAAAACAGAATCTGTCTGTCTCAGGTCTCACTGTTTAGCTTAATGTGTTCATCCCTGCTGGCTGAGACTAAGCAGCCAGGAGGACAGGAGGACAAGAGGACAGGAGGAGTGAAGTCTATGTTCTTAATACTTTAGAAACTTCACTCAGCAAATGGTAGGTATTTGACAATTTACTTGGCACTGGCTCAGTCAGTGGTAACCACTGCACCTCCCTTACCGCCTTCAAAGCCTTTCCTATGTGCTCATGGTTAAGCGTAGTGCCTGGGGCACATGCTGTACTGATAATTGATACCCGGAGAGGTCAGAAGGAGATACGTTTCAAAAACCATGTTTAGAACTACAAAAAACCCTGCAGCAAACAATGTTAGCAAACAATTAGCTAGCGTCAGCACTTCTATACATCGCAAGCTATTGGAGGTACTGAATGTCTACACATGCTTATATGGCTTTTAATGATCGTATCAGTGGATATATAGTGTTGTTCCTTTATTCCATCGTCTTCTGTCTCGATCTCCTGATGATGTGGTGCTTCACATCTACACTGTGATCAGCAGCTTTAGCTTCAAACACACAGTGTAGAGCCCTCTGTCTGCTTCTCTCTGACATCTATTTTAACTTCCTAAAAGTTTGACAATGTTTATGAATGGAGTGCAGTTAGTGACAGTGTGGGCTTATAATCATACCTTTAATGAAATATCCATTGAGACCATTTCTAAACATGGCAGTGTCTGGTGAGCCAAATTTTTGGTGAAATTTGAAGTCAGTTAGTTGAATATCACAGATATATAAATATGTATAGGGACATAATGACACAGACTCATATGTCTCGCCTGAAGCTAAAACTAGTGACTGCTGCCTCTTCTCATGTCATCTTCCAGAGTGAGGTCACTGTGATATACAGTGAGGTGGAGCCACATTTTGATGGTTTCGACCATTTTCAACCAAAATTCATTTTACTAATAGTGATCTGTATGAATTCATTTCGAACACTGAACTTAGGTGGTTGTTGTTGTTCTTCCCTCTCACGTGAAAGCTGAGCCTTATGCAACAACTACAGTTATGGTAAACGGTGAGCAGGCTTGCAGAGGCCGTCCAGTCTTTCGACCACTCAAAGCGCTGTACAACACATGTCACCATCGTTCTCCCATTCACACACAGTCATACAATGATGGCAGAGGCCACCATGCAAGGTGCCACCTGCCCACCCGGACCCTTAACTTATTCACAGTCACGGAGAACTTGGGTTTGGAGGACGGCCCGCTCTATCGCTGAGCCACAGAGGCTTAGCTACTTATTGGAAATACAGAAGGAAAAATAGCATTGAATAGTGTGTTTGAATGCAAAGACTGATATGGGTATATACTTCACGTTAAAGTGATCCACTGTCCTGCATCGTTATCTTACCGGAGGAAAGCGAGGACTCTCGGAGCCTGTCGCTGCCGTGGATCTGCACCCTCGCCCGGGTACCGTTCACGGCACTCTCCCGAAGCCTCCGCTCGGCGTTTCCCCGGGCCATCTTCAGCTCCAGCAAATGCAGCTTCCTCTTCAGGCCTTTGTTCTCTCTCTGGCACTGAGACATCTGTAAACTCACCACCGCATAGTCGTCGTCCACAAGCTTGCATATCTCCGCCACTGCTGCGTTAGCCAGGACCTCCATAATGGAGGCCAGCTGGGTCTGGAAGGCCAGACGGCTGGACATCCTTCCTACACTCGGTGGCTCGCTTGGCCGCTCCGTCGTTTTGAAAATACCGTTATACTCCTCTTGCAGGATTAAGGAATGCCGGAGGTTTGGTCAAACCATCACAGCTATAGTGGAAACTCTACGTGTTTAAATGTTGAGCTGGCGAGAGAAGGCTAAGCTAAAGTAGCTTCTCCTCTGTCCGCAAGCAACGACGACAAACATATGGCGTCATTTCCGGCTACGGAAACACTTCCGGTGCTTTCCAAATCGCCAACTTTTGTTCCTTCTTTTTACATCAGTACGTCCTGTAGCTACTCTTACAGTACTGTACTGTAGTATGCACACAATTGGGACGTACTACTTCGTCATAACATTGCGCCTTTAACTTTGACCCTCTTGCTCATATATATATATATATATATATATATATATATATATATATATATATATTATTTTTGTTGTCGAATGTATTTTGATGCAGAGATGTTGGCACTATGGTCTGTCTGCACGTGAAGCAGCTTTACATTTAAGTTAATAGTGGGCCGAGCACCAACGAAGTCGGAGCGGAGGACCCTTTTTTCTTCTAGTGTTTATTATTATATTATTATTACTAGGTCCCAAGCACCAACGAAGTCTGAGGGGAGGACTTACTGTTCTTCTAATGATTATTATTATTGGGATTCGAGCACTGATGACTTTGGTCAAAGGCCCCATTGAAATCACAAAAATGATTAGGGCCCGAGCACCGACAAAGTCGGAGTGGAGGACTTGTTGAAATTCAAATATTTATTATTATTATCATTAGGGCCCGATCACCAATTAAGTCGGAGTGGAGGGCCTATTGTGCTTCTAATGGTTTTAAAATGTAGATAATAATAATAATTATTATGTCTTTCGGAGAAGAAACAAGGTGCTTGGGCTTCTCAAAATCTTGTGAAAGTTAGCACAAAAATCAGACTCAGCGAAAATAGCGATCTGATATGAGTGTCCTGCTCGGGTCGGACAAAATGGCTCGAAAGCGCCACCTATTGAGTAGCCCCGCTGTGGGTTTCACCTATCTGTATGGCATTTGGTAGGAATATGTAACATGATGGGACGTACAAAAAAGCCCGTTGGAGCTATTTGTAAACCCAATATAAAGTCGGCCATTTTTAATTTAATGTCGTTTTTTTTTTTTTTTTACCATTTCGAACTCTTCCTTAATATTTAACCCAATTGACTTCAAATTTAGTCAATATCTTCTTCAGACCTTTGCAATTAAAAGTTATTAAAAGATCAAAAATGAAACCGAAAGTTGTTGTAACTTGGCTGTACATTATGTAATCTATGTGTATGTTTCATAACATTCTCACCCTGAAGACATGTACATGATAATTTCGAATCATAGTTATAGCCCCACCCAGTGGTAACAGGAAGTTACAGGTAGTGTAACTTTTACATCCTCTTCCTCAAAGATTAATCACATCCAATCTAAAAATAAGACTTTGATTATGCTTCATTCAAATTGATGTAACTTGATTTCACATGGTCAGATCTTTTTCAAATATCTCTTTTTTGAAGAGACTCAAGGCCTGAAGACATCTGTAGGCCAATTTCGATTCACCATTATACACCAAGCTGTTACAACTCGACTGTACTTGGTCTAATCTGCCCAAACTTGACATGCCTGATAAGAGTCATGGCTTGAGAACTACTGCATGCCAAAATTCACTCCCAGTCAAGCGCCAACTACTGGGCACTATGGCTGTGTGAGGTATTTCACAAATACAGGTCCAAAAATGTTGGGGGTGTTCAGGGGCATACCCCTTGAAAAAAATCAGATTCCCCTGATCCATATATATGTATATATATATATGTATATATATATATATATATATATATATATACATATATATACACATTTTAATAAGTTTGGGGAGCAAAAATGTATGTTTTAAAAGCACATCAGTGGGCATTAGTATAAATGATCTGCCAAGAAGTCAGACATGAGAATCAGGTTAAGTGTTGCTATAAATGACCCACACTACAATCTGAAAATACAGAAGAGGATAGAATGATCACAGAACATCTGTTAATGAATGTTGATAGAAGTAATTAGTGTTCACGTAAAAAGCAAATTCACACTACCCATCTCTGTTGCCCTGTTTCCCTTTCTCCATGACTTGTCTCCCTTGCCAGTGTATATAAATAAATAATTAACAAAAATCATATACATCTTCTTTATTTTATCTTGTGTTTGAGTTTGCAACATTTTGGATTTTAATTATGACTCAAAAAGCACATCGACATAAGCAAAATGTGTGTTTTACAATGATATCTGTATACAATAATAGTATGGTCACACTATGATTATGCTCGGTGTTTGTGCTGTTTGATTGAGCCTATAGGTTCCACTGAATGACCCAAAGATCATATTTCTATGTTAATAGCACTTTGAACTGGATTAGGTATGTTTTTGTTTGTGAGGATCAGCATCATGCTAATCCTATCATCTCCATCCCCTTTCTTTTTTCCCCAGTCTCCTCATCTTGTCTTCTCCTTTCCCAGAGCTGAGCATTGATCGACACCATTGTCTGTCTCAGTGTAGAAAGTAAATACATGCTACTTAGGGGTTAGAGTGAAACTAACTAGCGGGCATCACTGGCGTCTGATTAATGTAGGGCAGCCACACAGAAACTTTTGGTTAAAATATGTGTGTCTGGGGATGAATGGCATTGAAAAGCGTAATATTGAAGTACTTTACAGTTTTTCCATTTTCTGCTACTTTATAGATCTACTCCACTACTGCTGAGAGGGAAATGTTGTACTTTTTACTGTACATTTTTATGTTGTGTCTTCTACGCTAAAAAGTCACCAATACATCTCACGCTGGGGTTCATTGAAGATAGTGCTTATGAATTGCCTTGACCAAGGATGCTAGGACAGCTGACGCAGTCTGTTGTTGTCGTTATCGCTGTTGCCGTTTGTTCCATGTAGTTTTTTTGGGTTCAGTCGATACCAAATTTTTAAAATTCAATACGATACCGATTGTTTTTGTTAGCAATGCAACGTTATAGATACCTATACTGATCATTTCTTAAACGGAATGTTGGTTTTTTTTCCAATATAAAAGTAATTTTTAGAAAAAAAAAAAAGATCATTACACTTAAAGGCAAATCACATGACGTATACAAACCATTAATAACAAATTTATTACAAAGGCAAGTTAGAGTACAGTTAAATAAAACGTTTGTGCCACTAAGTGTAAAAAATACTCCAATATTTTACAGAAATACTATGATTAAATAATAAGCCTCCTTGTTGTTCTTTGATGTTTGAAGAGCTTACTCGTGCTGCTGCTGTGTGTGGCACTATATTGTCATGAAATAGCGCATCCTGCTGTATTTTGATCTACAGGCGAAAAGTCGCACTACAACACGCTACGTTTCCTTACTGATGTTCTCTGACATGTTTGATGCGACTAGGCACCGCTGTGCTCTGGGTTCTGACTGTGACACAAACCAGCTAAATACATCAGGGCTGTTTCGCCACAAACATACAAAAGTGGTGAAAACGTTTGGAAGTGATGCAGCCACCCACATTTGTATTGATATAATTCTACCATGTATATATTGTTAAAGGACCCAATACCACATGAGTATCCTGTGAGTAGCATGTGCAGTCTCTCTGGAGACAATAACGTTGTCTGAACTAAAAACTAAGAAATGCTCTGTGCTGACATGGTTTAGCTCAGCAAAAGCTATCGGCTCCTAAAATGACATTTTCCACTTTTCATCACTACATATGTATGACTACATGAAATACAACAACATGCACTAAGACAGATTTAGAGTTGTTGGAATGTGTAGCTTGTTCCCCTTTTGACTGAGCAAAGCTCACCACGCTAGCAGGTTTCTCCTGCTTTGAGCCAAAAAACATAAATACTTCAATTAAAACTGTACCGAGGACGTCTCAGCATCCTTTGACATCGACACTCAGTGTGCAGTCTGAGAAATGAAAACGTGTAGTGTCAGCAGTTCTGAAAAAAGCAACAAAAGCTGGAAGTGTTTGGAAATTTGAATCCAGCATAAGAAATCACAGTAGGATAAGGCAAGATTCAATCTGTGTTCATAACATTCACTTGACATTTGATGAATTTTAAATGTATTTTAAATCACTTTGATAATTCACCTCATTATATAGGCCGAAGAAAACTCTAGAGCTGTCAGCTGTTTCACTAGGTGGTCAGTGGTGATGATGGCTGCGTATACCATCATAATTAACCAAGATGATCCCAGATATGCAGTACATGAGCCTCCCCTCCTGGATCAGCCCGGGGGTCTTTCTCATTTCACGGTTTTGTGCCACCTCGATCCCTCGCTCCTCCGGCTTGTGACCCGGAAGTCGTTCTCAGCGCTCCATCTTGTAGGACATCCCAATTCCTAAACTGTGTCTTGAGGAGCGAGGAGCGAGGAGGCTTGCCGGAGGAGCTATGAGCGCGGAAACACCTTTGCTGAAGATTTTTCTGCACACGTAAACAAATACAAAGAGCCGTGACACACAGCTCAAACCACGGCTGGACCCTACAAATGTAACAGTTCCTTTTTGTATTTAGAAATTGTATTTATTTAAGATGCGGGATCAGACTTTCTTACTTCTTACTTCACAGCCTATGTAGCTCCTCATGAGGCTCTATTCAAACCACATTTCTTAATGACATTCACCTGATACTTGTGTTTTTATACTGAATGTATACATCCAACTCAACTGCTATAATCCTGACATGATGTTTACAGGTGCAAACAGCTGCAAGTGTCAAATTATTATGTCATTCTCTTACAATCAGCACTAATTTGCTGTATTTCATGTTGTCATATAGAAAGACAGGACTGTGTTTGTGTGTCTATAATATATATCAATAAGTCATATGTAATATATGTCACTCTTTATTTGTATAGCACTTTCCGTACAAACATTTGTAGTGCTGCACACAATAACTTATATACAGTCTATAATGTATGTGTTAAATAGAAAGTGCATGACATCTGAATATTCGTGTCACATTCTGCCACGCTGTGAACTGAATTACTCGTAAATATATAAGTTGTCATGAACACCGTTATGCTCATCTGACAGGGATCATAAAATACAGTGGTGTAACTAAACAATGGACAGCTGATGCAGCATATTTAATTGTCATTGCTTTAAAATGACGGTTCGAGACGAGGAATGTCTCATTTGTTAAACGCCTGTCGCCTCGTCTCCTCTCATCTCTTCCTCTCCTCCTCCGCTCGTATCTCCCTTGGGCGGGAATAAGGCGCGAAGCACGGAGGCAAAGGAAAGGAATCGGGGAGGCACAAAATCGGGAAATGAGACAGACCCCAAGTGCGTTAGCTATGTAAACACAGACAAAACCATACATGACAAATTGATGGATTAAGTGTTATAAACACTGTCTCAGGCACTCTTTTACAGTCCACTCTGTGATCCTCTCTCAGGTTGAAACAAGGAGTAAGTAACGACTGAGAAGGCTTTAGTGACAATTCTTTTGTCCGCCTTTAAAACAGAATACACATATTACTGCTATGATCGAGGACACATGTTAAATGCACTTGCAATGATATCACAGGATACAGTCTTGCTTCTTTGTTCTGGCTCACATACGATTCTGCTACTCCTTTTTTTAGAACCACTCACCCTTCAGAGGCCAAACTGTATGAGGATCAGTTCCAGATGCCATCCACCCCGCCCGGCGCTCCGTCTACAGGCCACACTGGGACTGCTGCCGGTGTCTGCGAACGCTACACATTTGGCTGAAGGACTGTCCGCATCGGGAGCAGCTGTAGGGCTTCTCCTGCGTGTGGACTGTGCGGTGCCTCTTCAGGTGGCTGGACGAGATGAAGCTCTTCCCGCACAGCGTACACCGATAGCGCCTCTCCCCGGTGTGGATGAGGAGGTGGACCCGTAGGTTGTTGGGCTGGGCAAAGCCCTTACCACAGTGGGGGCAGGTGTAGGGCCTCTCCCCTGTGTGCACTCGTTGGTGCAGCTCCAGGGCAGCTGCGCTGGGGAAGATGCACCCGCACACGGCACACGCCGCGGGCTCTTTGGCAGCAGCAGCAGCAGCGGCAGGGCCGCTCCTGTAGAGCCGTCTCTGGCTGGTCGTAGTGGCAGAAGGAGCTGCAGGGGGAAGAGGTGGCGGAGGCAGCGTGGCCGGTGCAGCCACCACAGCGGCAGCAGCGGTGGCAGATGCAGCAGCGGCCATGTCGAAGGACGCGGCGAAAGCAGCCATTTCATGGGTGCCGCCTGTGAAGAGCATGGTTGGAGGGCCATCCAGACTGTCTCCTCCCTGAGACGGGAAGGAGGCAGAGGGGTGGCCATTTTCTGTGTTCCCCAAACCCAGCTGTGCTACTGCATATGCTGCACCAAGATGGCTTACCCTCTCCTGCATCCAGGCCAGGTCCAGGCCCAGACTGTTGAGGCGGTCGGGGCTCGGGTCATCCGAGGCTACAGGGTCTGACAGCTGAGAGGGATGAAGTCCATCTTGCGTAGCATCATCTGTCTGGATCTCTGGCTTCAGAGCAACATCTGTTAGATCGCCTTCAAGGTCACTGCACACGCCCCCGTGGGCCGTGACCCCCCCACTACTGGCTGTCAAACTGTTGCACAGAGGCGTGGTGGCTTTACTTTTCGCTCGAGGCCTGCAGGTCAGGTCTATGGTGGAATCAGTAGGCGATGAGGAGGGCTGGGTGGTGCAGTGGTGGTGGACACTGGTGTCAGGATCAATATCACTGGGTTCCTCGCTGGGCTCCATGGCTGAAGATGGACAGACAGACACTGGGGAACAGGCTGAGTGGAGTTAAAGAAGAAAAAAGAAGAGAAATTCAAAGATTGATATTTATTTGATGTTTGTTTGTTTGTATATATATCACACAAAAATGCTTCACTCTCTTTGAAAACAATTACAAAAAGCCGTCCCAGGCTGCTTGAACCCTCTGTGTCTGATCAGGGCCCTGAGATGCTGATAGTCTGTGACTTCATTGTCAGAGATACAAAACTCAAGTCGGCTAACACGTTTTCCTTACCGTCCACTACGGTCTCAGAGTTAATGGTCAATATCCCCCGTCTGTTCCCACAATTCTCAGTCTTTCATGTTCATCTGCGGCTCCATTCCCACTCTGGGCCACAGAGGAGGGAGTTTCACCAGACTCATCCAGCTCCACTGCGGGGCGCACCCATTCATTTTAATGACAACTTTAATCCGTCCGTGGAGAGCGCTATGCGTTTTAAAAGGGGCCGTTCACATCCAAACCGACTGGGTTCTCGCATGTTGTCTGCTAGAGTTTTTTCACAACACTAATTAACTCAGCTGTGTGACCGTCATTATGCTCCAGTACACATGTCCTAAACGGTTCTTCCCTTACATTGCAACTAAAACTGTGGAGGGAAACCACACAAACACGGGGAGAACATGCAAAGCTCCACACGGAAAGGCCTTGTTCAGACAGGGGATCAACCTCAATTATATATCTTCTTATCCTCAGGACATTTCTTTATGGCTACTGAGATTTGGCTCACTAGTGATACTGTCCCCTTAATTAAAGCTTCCACTGTTAACTTTTGCCACTAGAATCATCGCCTATAAAATAGATTGAAGTGGTCTTCATTTTCTTTTGGCTCTCTTAAGTTTTTTTTATTACTGGTTCAGTTTCTTTCCTCTGTATACTTTTATAATGACACCCTGAGCTTAATAGTGCTATTCACACATTTTCTGAGCTCCTCTCTGTACAAATGAGGAAATGCACATATGCCAAAAAATATTCTGATATATTAAACTTTGGGCACATCTACTAGTGCGCAATTTCCTTTTGTGAATCCCAAATCAACTTGGAAATGTGGATAAGCGTCACATCCCGCCCTCTACACGTCCACATTCAACCATAAATGGTCAATGCAAAGCACCTCATGAATGTTCATGCATAGAAATTACGTTCTTTACGGTGACTCACGGCAACTACGGAGAGGGTGACCAAGAAAAGGATATTTTTCGACACAGAAATCAAAGTGCTTGTGGGTGAGTTCATCCCTGAACACTTGTTCCCTCCTAATTTGTCCTTTCACGTAGTCCTCTAGCGGTGACAGTGCACCCATCATGCAGCGTTACAACCAAGGTGAACACAATTTATTTAAGGTTTGCTATGGTGGGCTTGGCCTGTATAATGATGATGACTCATAATGAGGGTCATTAGCTTTATTTACAGACTTTGCCTAATTTACACATTGCACATGTGCCGGGTGAGGTGACTGGAGAAGGCAGAATGTGTGTCTCCATCGCCCTCTGATAGATGAATCGGATAGCTGTTCTCAATTTGTCTGAAATATGCTGTATATGTCCCTGTAGAATGAAACATACTGTAAATGAATAAATAAAGTTGTGTTCACTGCAGCTATTTTAATGCCAATTCTGCCAGTAAAATCTGTGAAGCTTTCCCCAATACCCGAACCTCGAGCTCTTTTATGTAGGAACAGTCCCCTGATGCCTTGGCTAACTCTTTCAACAACAGCTGGCTCCCAATCCTTGGCCATGCTCCTCTCCAAATCAGGAAGAAAAATCCTAATGCTTATCCATGACTCAATGAGACAATGGATGTTTATTAAAGGCTAAGAGGTTATTACTCTCCCTTAATATCCTTAGAAGTCACATCATCAACTATTAGACAACAGGTTAAGAGGCAAGATCAGCCTATTTATCCAATTTGATTTCCAGAAGGTTTTATTGAAAGTTATTGATTCTGTTGTGAACGGTTCCTCCACTTCTAACCCTGAACCGAGTCGTGAATGAGCGGAGGGATTTCTGAATTACTTTGTTAAAAAGTTGGAGGATATTAGGACTCTGATTGTTTCAGACATGCATGTCCTATTTGTCCCCCCCCCCCAAACTATGCAGTGCTGACCCAATTTCAGCCAATTTCCCTCTCACTTCTAGAAACTCTCAGATTGAATCATCTTCCCAGCTCAATATTATTCACTCTAAACTTTTAAAAGATGTTCTGCACACTGTCAGTCCCTGCATTTCATCAATTATGATTTGCTGCTCGACCACTGGTATTTTTCCCTCTTCTTTTAAAACAGGCAACTATACAACCTGTCTTAAACTGCTCACTCTCGTAAACACTGACATATTTCTAAAATATCGTTAATATCTAGGGATAAGGACAGTTATTTCCTCTCTACATAGTATGGTGACAGCCTTAGTTAAAGTGACAAATGACTTCCTGTTTGCTGCAGACAAAGGTGGAAGCTCCATTTCGGTCCTGTTAAGACTTGAGGGCTGCCTTTGATACAGTGGACCACTGGCAAATGGTAAATGGACTTGCATTTGTAAAACACCTTTCTAGTCACATTTCAACAACAAGGCAATTCAAAGTGCTTGAGCAGATCAGATTCAACTATGAAAATTCTTATTTGGGGACACCCATAGTAGAGTGACAGCAGTGACAAATAGTAACAGAGTCAAAGTCTACATTATCAGTGTACACCAGATATGATATGATATATGTGATATGATGTTATAAGCAATCATATGTACAGATACTTGGTGTTCGTCTGTGTTTGTATAGAGATGTGATATAATAATAACTTTGAATCTGGTGCACACATCTGTCACATATTCACATGATACCGTGTTACATGGTAAATTATTATTATTAAACATGACCAAAATAAAGTATTGACTCTCCATCACTGGCACCAATTCAAAATTTGAAATAAATAAAAGCCCTATAACACACTAGAGGCTATGTGGAAAAAAAAAATCACAGTTACTGCAATTACATGTCAAAATGGCTGCTGTAAAAAGGGCCTATTGCACCAGTCTTAGCTTCTGTTCATCACCTATCTATGTCGGGTTAGACTTTAATTTAAGCCCCTTCCTACCTGCCTGATCTCCTTAAACCTTATACTCCACTCAGGACTCTCTGCTCTCAGAAAACAGGGCTCCTATCTGTGCCCAAGGGGTAAAAGAAGTCAGCAAGCTAAAGGGCCTCTTTCTGTCATACCCACTTATGAAATAACCGGACATTCTGAGAGTAACTGCTGCATAAAAAAAGGCCTAAATAAAAGACCCATAGACTAACTCTATCCTAACAGGAAGTTGAGGATGAGTTTTGTTTTCCATCCAAATCCTTTTTTTCAATGACTTACAGTTTCAAAAGTTAATTGCGCTCAAAAACTACTCTGCTTTCTGTGTAATGACTTATAGTTTTAAAGTTTTATTCCACCCAAATACATATAGGTTTAATGTTTAACTTTTAAGAACATTTGTGATGCGACTTTTCTTGTTTTTACCTCTTAACTTTTTTAAATATTAAGCTTACTTGAATTTTTTCATTTTTTTTAACCATGTTAAAAAAAGGATGGACACTTCATAGAGCAGGTCAGGCTCCGTTTCAGCAACTTTTGCAATGCAACGGCGCATTTAATAATATTATAAGTGACAAAGTGCTTTCTTGAGCATTGAAGTCCATCTGTGAGACATAACTGTGATCAAATATTCTAAACTCAAGGTTCACCTGATCAGGGCCAGAAAAAGCAACTAGGTGGACCTTGAGTTTAGAGTGTTTCATCACAATAATATATGCCGTGACTAAGATCTACTAATGGAGAAAAACTGACTGGTCGACTACAGTCCAGACGAGGCTTTTACTCTATTATATCTTCATATTCTTTGTTTGTATTAAAACCTTGAAACCATAAGAATAATCAATGAAACACAGATGTAATCCTTCACAGAGCCACACTCACCAGTAGACAGGTCACACTCTGCCCTAATGTTGACCTCCACCTTGAGGTCCAGGTTGCAGTCGTCGCTCTCCACTTTCTCCTGCTTCACCAATGGCAACAACGTGGTCTCCTCCTGCTGTGACACAGTGAAAAGTAGCTGGAACATGACATAGACATTTATTTTCATCGCACAGTTCAAGTTGAACCTAAAACTCAGACCTAGGACCATGTTCCTACATGTAGGCTACACTTAAATCCATGATGTCATAGCGGACCATGTCAAGTTACAAATCCTCCACTACACATTGTGCCATGCAGAATAGTGAGGGAAGCATGATGAAATTTCATGATTTCACTTCTATAAAAACACTGGTGTTGAGTGTGTTGATGTGGTTTTAGCGGTTTGGTCTACTTGAGTGAACACTACACTACACAAATTTGAAGTTTCCAGGTCACCAATAAGTGTCATCTCTTCTGCCTTCAGCTTTATGTTCTCAGAGGGGAGAGTGGATGCCTTACATACAGTGCAGTATAACCTTGAAATAGTGCTCTCAGGACTCAATAGACCTTATTTGAAAATCATTCTGCTGATTTACCTTTGAAATGTGATGGAAGGTTTTGTCTATAGAAGTGGCAGGAAGAGGCGGCACCACAGGCTGATGGTTGTCAGCTCCTGAAAAAATAGCACAGAACACTGAGCTAGTATTGTCCACAGCTTTTCCTGCCTTTTGAGCTTGAGCCATGTTAGCTGTGTCATCATTTACCATTGTACAACCTATCTCTTACAAGAAAAGTCTTAGCTTCTGAATGAGCTCCTACAACTTCAGACTCTCGTGTTGTGCGATTATGTAAAAGTATCATCTGATTTGCAGTCAAAGACAGAGAGAAAATGTAGTGACAAGTACTAGCACGACGTATGATAGTATGATATAGTATTTCGTACTAGCATTCATCCAACCATCAGCTGATAGGAGCAGAGAGTGTCCTAAAGCTGATGATGATTGCAAAGAATCTATTGATGGAAGTATTTGTTTATTTATGTAGGAACAGAAAAGGGATTTCTGGCACAACTTCACATACTTCTGATGGATATGCTATATATGCACGGCAATGTATATTACTATTATTACTATTATTTATACTACTATTAGTAGTTAGTCTCTAACTGTGCCTGTCTGCTGTTTGTTGCTGAGCAGGTAGTGTATCGGAGCACTGTCACAGAAAACCGCTACCTGCTGCTGCTAACAAATAAGGCTGATGAGAGCCATGAGACTGAACCAAAACAGTTAACTTCCCTAAAGCAGGATTTGGCCACTTCGGTAGTCTAACTCTAAAAGCCTCATATTAGCTTCAGTTTTATTAAGGTCCTTCATGTCATAATAATTATGACTTGAATAATTTAGGTTTCTCTTTGCAATCAGTATGAAAAGCATGGAAGATTGTAGTGACACATCCTGTACATGTGGGCATGTGACTTCTACTATAATAGAGAGAACATAGGCTTTCAGGAGGGTCATGCTTTATTGCCTAATTTTGTGACTCATTCAAGGTTACAAGGTTTTTACTTGTCATTGTACGACAAGGTTGCACAACAAAATTTAGATTGTAATCCCAATTTGCTACATAGGAAAGAAAAAAAAGAAAAAACAACAACTATATCACATATGGAGGGTGGAGGATGAGTAATGGAGTTGCACTGAGGAAAGAAGCTATTCTGAAGTCTGGTGGTTCGGCAGCTGATACTTCTGTATCTCTTTCCAGACGGCAGCAGGGAGAACAGGCAAACGAAGGCTGGGTATTTCAGCAGAGAAAAACACTACACATTGAACAGAGTGGAAGCAACGAGCCTGGGAACGCCTCGGGATCCCCCAGAATGAGCTGGAACATGTTGCCGGGGAGAGGGAAGTCTGGGTCATCCTGCTTGGCCTGCTGCCACCGCGACCCGACCTCGGATAAGCGGAGGAAAATGGATGGATGGAAGCAATGAGGGTTTGCTGGGAGCCCAGGGAGGGTCATTTGAATAAATACACATTTGGACAAAACCAAAACTCTCTGCACATAACTGCACTAGAACTGTCATTTTGGCCAGCCCTGCCACATGGTGCATTAACATGTGAATATAAGGGCCCAGAATGATGTTGAGGTCCACAGTAGTACAGGAGCCACAGGGCACAGTGTGTGTGTGTGTGTGTGTGTGTGTGTGTGTGAGATCAGTCATGACAGCAGAGCTGGATGAAGTTAGAGCAACTGTGTGGTCTCATTGAGATTAAAGACATCAGCCACCACATTGCTGTATGAGGGCATAGGTGTGTCATGATGCTCTCAGACGTAATGTAGCAGTGATGATGCAACGCACTTGGCCAACTGCAGCCCCTGCCTTTATTTATTTATTTAACCTTTATCAATTACCACCTTACCTTCGGATGGCCTAAAATGAACGGCGTGCGCTTCCTCCCGCTGACTCCGTCTCCTCATCTTCCTCTCGTAGCTCCGCATCTTCACGTCGATCTCTCGCAGCTTCCTCCGCAGCGCGTCGTTCTCCCTCTCGCTCTTCTCCCGCTCCTGGTCCATCTGGGAGCGCAGCGCTGCGTAGCCGTCGTCCACCAGTTTGCAGATCTCCGCCACTGCCGAATTTGCCAGTATCTCGATAATCGAGGCGATTTGCGCTTGGAAGCCAACGCAGTCCGCCATCATCATCATCGCCAGGCCCGTCTGTCTCTGCTCCTGCACGGACAGACAGATGCGCGCGGCAGACGACTGCTGATGCTGCTGCTGCTGCCGCGGTGCACGTGCATGAACAGATCCGCGCACCGATATGTGACGGCTGAGTGTTTCGCTCACTCTGTCCGCCTTGTTTTTTTATGTCCTCTAGAATGTTTTGGGCTCTTCGGGGTGAGAGAGTCGCCTTCTGATGATGTCAGTTTGTTGTTCAGCATCACTTCACAGGCAGCTGTGTCCTACGGGTACGTCCCATAAGTCTCTCGGTTGCACCCGCATTTCCCTCACTTTGCATCTTTTACGCAAGAAACCACGCTAGAAGAGAGGAAACGAGGAAATCTGTTCTTTTTTTTTTTTTTTTTTTTTTAGAGAAAAGAGACCTCCTTTCCTCTAAAGCGTCACGTGAAGCGACGTCTGTTTCTGATCACAGCTGGATCAGCTGTCAGTCGGCTTTAACAGCTGGAGAGACTTGTTGGAGTGTGTCTGCACACATGATCACTGTGCTAATATTAAGACACACAGTTATCATTAATGCGCAGAGCAGCAGTGTGATCTCTGTGTGTTACCTGATTAGCAAGCATTCTGTATTTACAGTATACTGTGTTCTGTGTCCCGATGAGAGGCGCGCGGATATATTTCTACTGGCAGATGTTGTTGTATTCATTCATTATTTGCGTCTGCATTTATTGATATTCTGATAGTGAAATCATTATTTGATAACCCAGAATATGATCATTTTGAACACTGGAAATTATTGATTCGGCTAAATGTTTCGGGTAAAATTGAAATGATGTAGCTCATATGAAACCTGACCCTCAGGCATTATCATCCTCACGTGACTCACGTCACGCTTAAATTATGTAAAAAAACAAACATGTAGTAGAATCTGTAATATGAAGTAGGCTAGCTGCCTTTTGATTTGATTCTTACAAAACCTTATGTTGCATTTTCCATAATTGGTAACACTTTATAATAACTGCACGCTATATGAAGCATTAAAGTATGAATAAACACTTAATTCATCATAAATAAACATTGTTCCTACATTTATACACATAACTATTCAATTCATAAACATATCTATAAATGTTGTATTCTTGATGAATTAGCTAATCTATAATGTGTTTAATGATTGTATTTTTTAATACTTATAAATGGTGGATTCCACATTTCAAAATGAAGTATTATATTAATAAAAAACAATTATTTAGGAGTTGTCAACAGTTCATAAGATCATTTATAAAGTGCTAAATGCTTTAATAATTGTACATTTATGCATGCATTTATACATATACATTTGTACATTTATTTAGGCATGCACTAATGGTGAGGGAGTGTGTTAATAGATGTTTAAAAAAAATGAAATTCATGATTCATTTAGGTAGTTACTAGTCGTTAGTTAAGTATTTTGTGGGACCTCTTCTAAAGTGAGGACTATCTGTCTCACAAAGTATTCACAAATGATATTGAAAGGCCGGTAATACCTGATTCCACCTGCAGCCCAAGACTCACAAGTCTCAAAACATTTTCTCAAATGATTTTCTATGAACATTTGTTATTACATATTTATTAATTTGAGACAGAAAAAAAATACTTTCAACACATGATCAAATAATACATGAAGTATACATTTAATGACAGTACAAAAACTTCAACTACACTGATTCTTTGGAGTTTGTCTCGAAAATCTCAGATAAAAAGACACATTCTTGCCATCTCAGCTCTTTCACACGAGGTACAGTGACTAAATATGACTCCTTGTACTTTCTTAAAATATCATGAACCAACATGCCAAACGCACCATCACAGTGTTTCTTTGGGAGCCATTCATTCCACTCAATCGCTGCAAGATGGTCAGAAAGCAAACTCTCAGGCTACATCCACACTAATGCGCTGAAACGATCTCTATCCTCACAATGTCTCAGCATCATTGTAGCTCTAATAACAGCTGCTTCCTCCGCATGTCGGCAGTAGTAGAATTAATAAATGCAGATGTTACTGCACAACAGCTGCTAGTATAGACAACAAGGTCAGCAACGCCTGTAATCTGGTATCCATGTTGAATTTAACCACTGGTAGTCGATCGGTAATCAAGGCTTTTGTTGTTTGTTTTCTTATGGCGGCGTGACCAATCAGGGAAGGACACGTCGTGACTGCTAAGATCCAATCAAGTAGCGAACGTGGGTGTCTACCTCATCGTTTGCAAAGGTCCCCGTTTCTGCCCGTCCACACTACACCACAACCCTGTTTTCAAACCAACACGACTTCGGTAGCATTTTCAAACGCCTCCGTTTTTGGGGTTCTAAAACTAGTAGTAGTGTGGGCGCCAGGCAGGAACGTAGCAAAAGACATGCGTACTAAAAACGAAAACGTAGTAGTGTGGATGTAGCCTCGGTGTGGTTTCCCCTAAGCCTCTGGATCTGCTCCCTGTAGGATTTCCAGGCCCTCTCAATTTGGTGGGTATGGGCAGAAGTGTGGGGATCTATATACCACCTGCTGTGGATGACAGTGTGATGGTTGTACCCTAGTGCAGGGAGTATGTCACTGACAGTTGATGATCCATGCCTCACATGATGGGCAATCAAGGGGACTAGATCTTCTCCCCACTAGATGCAGAATAGGCTTTCCAGATCCTCACCCTTGGTGATGCCTCACACCTAACATCCCAAAGACCCACTCAAAGACCCACTTCTTTCTTTCCCACCAACCAGCCATTCTTCCTCTCCCATACCGATGCAGAAACAAAACAAACACGTAAACAGATACTTTATCCTAACTATAACTTGGTTGACTATATTTCACGATTACTTAAAGTGATTGTTATTAAAACACACCTTTCTTTTGTGCAGAAAAAAGGGCTCTCATCAATCACAACAAACTCCCTTCTCCTACCAATCGGCTGGCCTGCACGCCTTCTTAACCTTTCAACTGCTGTGACACAGACCTTCCTTATTTTTTAAAACCATTTTACTAAGTTGCTAAACGGGCTACAGTGGTGTGACCCATCATGTCAATCTGCCGTAGTCGTAAACCCTGAGAAAATCTTCAGAGGCAAATAAAAAAAGTATGTTTTAGGTTTTACTAATGTTTAGGTGTCTGTAAAAATCATTGACAAAAAGTCCTATCCATTACAAAGAACTGGAATGTTGTGAGCCTATGACTATGTTATTATCGTTATTGCTTGCCTCCTTGCACATGAATTGCATACAGTTACTCAGGGAGATCTTTGAGCGACTGAAGTGTGACTTGTGCCTGACAAAAATTAGTTTTTCCCTTCTCCATATGTGCTGCTTGTCCTTAGATCCTATTTAAAAAGAACAGTGACATATAATAGTTTGTTAGAAAGGGGCCTCATGCAATTCTATACGCCCCAACGCCCTGCACTGCCACACACACATCAACACACAGCCAGCAGCGTTGATGTTAGTCTACATTTAATTATTTAATCATTTAGTTCATACCAAGCATATCGATCTCCACTGTTTGCCCTCTTCTTCAGTTTCATGTCCCGACGGCATATTCTGCATTTGACTTTTGTTTTTAGCAATCTCCTCTTCTGAAGCCACTTTATCAGCTTCAGGGTGTCTTTTTGTGTTTTTTTAGCGATGTGATCATTAACAATCCTCTTTCGCCAAGTGAATCTGCTCATTGTTAGCAAAAACAATGATACTAATAAGTCACAATCATGCTTTCATCAACGTGGGACAAAGGAAAACCCCTGACCAAAGTTGAAAGGGCATGTTGACCCGGCTCAGAAAGGGGTCACTAGCAAGCTAGTCACTAGCTGGAGGTCCTGAGACTGGCACACGTAACCGCGTCAACTCAGTTGTAAACAGAGCAATCCAGGGGACAACTTCACGATGTAACGATACTGTATGTCTTTTGATATCAGAGAGAACAAATCTTTTGTTTAGCCCGCTGGGGTACGATTGCATCATCGGCCAAGCCGAGAAAGAATTCGGTCAATTTTGTCTAGAATCTTGTTTCAAATCTCGGCATTGACATAAACCCCAAAGCATTCACTGAGAAATACAATTCTACCTAATTCACCTAAAATATGTTAAATGTAGAGGTATGCACATTTCTCCGTCACAGCATGTTAACGTTGGATGACCATTTATTTGTTCATATGAATGTAGTGATTCATATATTTTAGGCTTATAGCATGCCGAGACCAGCAGATAAGGGAAATAGAGCATTCTAGATGTATTCAATAATACACAATTACTTTCTATTAGGTGTGTCCATAACCCCTACTGCACTACTGGCAACCCAAAAAAAATAAAAATCCCATGTGTTGTAGGTGTGTAAGCTGAGGGCAGAGTGACAAAAGGAGAAGATTGATGAGCTAACCATGGAGAGAGACTATCTGAAAGAACAGTTGGCATCAGGTAAGTCTCTGAACACACAGTATGTAGTCACAAGATAGTACAGTTGGGTCTTATAATGTGATTGTAGTAGGATATGCATACACACGTGTTCCTTTGTGACATATGTGCTGTGAGCCTTGTGTTTGTATTTGCATCCGTTTAAACAGTTCTTAAAATAAGAAGACACATGTACCTCCCAAGCAATCCACATGTCTTCAAATTCCTCTTGTGAAAGCTCAGTGGAATCTTCCTCTGATACTCTGTCTGACTCCTCCTCTAACGTCCTCATTAGAGGGGGACAAGAAGAAGAGGAAGGGGAATGGAAAAAGGTATGGGAAGAAGTCTGAAGTGTTAAACCGCTAACGTTACTTTCACCCCGTTTCACTTGCTGGGTTTCCGGTCGGCTCATGCTTATCTCTGCTGTACAATTGTTGCTCTCCTGGCATGACGTGGCATTGCGTGTGCATTTGTTGATGGCGCTAACTAACCAGTCTTGCTGTAAGAAATCCCATTCTGGATAGAGAGGAATGACCTGGTAAACCATCTACATGTAGGTCTCTCAGTTGCAACCACTCTGATCTCGCTGTAGATTGAAACAGAATGTGAGCGTGTGACTCGCAAGCATACATTCCGTTTGGTCTGCGTGTTCTCTTAATCGCTGACCAAGAAAAGGAACGGGTGGTGGCCCGGTACAAAACAATTCTGAGGGAGTGCGGTAGAGGAGGGACCATGTCTGCTGCTTTCAAGCATGTCCGGGGTAGGAGAGTAAAGGAGCTGACCTAGGAACTAGGAAGGTTTTCACATCTACTCTGAAGTTGTAGAAATGGGAAAGATCAAAACTTGGCTTAGATCAGCAATGGTTCTGTCAAATGTTTGCGAGATTGTTGAATTGAATTGATACTGTGAAAGATTTTATTAAGTCTTTATTTTATTAAGATTTTATTTGTGGCTATTGTTGGCGTTATTGAATTTGTATTAAGCCATGTTTACCCTTGACAGAATTTAATTTGACATGAGATTGCAGAGGTTTATTTTCCTTTTAAATCAACGGCACATTTGTACAGTTACACATGTTTTATATCCAGCCATGTTCTCCTGAAGGAGAATCTGTGGATGTTGGTTTTTATAAATAAATGAAAGGCTGATGGTATGTTTTTACCAGTACATTTTTTAGCATCTTGCAATAAATGTTTATATGCTTTTCATCATGTTGTATTGTGTCTATGTGCTTTGTAGATAACTCTGTAGATAACTGAAGAAGATAGAAGACTGACTGAGACTGTTGTGAGTTTTGAGGTATTGCCAGCTTTTCAATGTCATTTGTAAATACTTTGTAAGGCATAGATAGTCCTCACTTTAAATGAGGCCACACAAAATACTTAATGACTAGTTACTACCTGAATTAATCATGAATTGCAGTTAGATTGTGTTTCTAAAATATATATCAACACACTCCCTAATTAGTGTCTAAATCATTATATGAATAAATGCATGCATACATGTACATTTAAATCATTTCTTACACTTTATAAACGATCTAATGAACTATTGACAACTCTAAAATAATTGGTTTGTGATTGAAATAATACTTAATTTAGAAATGGGGGAATCCTTTGTTTATAACATAGGAAAATAAAATCAAAACAATAAAGATGAGCTTATTAATCAACAATTAAACATTTATAGATGTGTATGTGTAGTAATGTGGTGAACGATGCTTTATTAATGATGAATTCATATTTACTCATAATTTACTAATGCTTCATAGCCTGCAGTTATTATGAAGTGTTCCCCATGGATCCCAGGGCTCTTCCTCATTTTCAACTTCTTCCATTCCTCATCACATTGATGATATTTAAGGTTTTGAGTCATATGGGCCACTTATAAATTCTGAATTTATAGGACACATATCCATATGCTGTGTATGTTTATGCATCTTTTACAGAGCACTCTGCCGTATACTTAATAAATAGTCTCATCATTCTGCTACTGCAGAGGTTGTCCTCTTTGAATTGGCTTTACATTTTCTGTTTTTGTTCATTATTTGTGAGAACTGATATGAGCTTTATGCTTTCAGAATGTTTTATAAATGGGTCAGGGTGAAGGAAAAGGGAAATGAAGGTAGTTAATGAAGTCCTGGTATGAATAGCGGTATAAGGATGCATGTGCATGTACTGTAAATAAATAATCTCTGTACTTTCTTTCTCTATCGCATATGTACATCTTCACGTCGAAGTATCTTATAAAGAACCCAGTAGAATATATTGAAGAAGAGAAAGGCCAGAGGGAAGCCGGCCCTCGACACAGTATCAATCTTTTTGGCTCTGTCGATAAATAACTTCCTCATCTCTTCGATGCTTTTACCCCCTCCACCTGCTGCTTCCCCAGGTGGTTTCTGGGCAGCGTTTGCTGTGGCTCCTGGGGTGTTCAGTACAGTAACAGTATTGTTGGCGCTGCCCTTCCGGCCCTTGCTGTTCCTTGGAGTGGAGGTCACAGCGGCTGTAGAGGTCAGTCTGTTCTCATGCACTTCCCCTTCCTGGTGGAGAGACAACGAAAGAGAGGACGGGCTCACGGATCAGATGCACATTTATTATTTCACAGACTACACATGCCACTGATGGGCCCTTGAGCATGGCACTGAACAAGGGTTAAACTGATTTGCTGCTTTGTTTATATATACTATTGGCCTTGGATTGGATACAGCAGAAAAGTTTTTAGGAATTTCATACCTAAGCATACTCAGAAGTTTAAATTTGCCTTATTACGCTTTACCACTTACTTCCTGTGCAAACGCTCCACGTTACGTCATCATTTTACAATTCACTATGCATCTTCTGCAAATGAAAACGATTCAATAGGTTCATAAATGACAATTATGGAACATTTACAGAGCTTTCTCTAAATGTTAAAGAGATGCTTAGAGATGCTGTACTCAAGATATAACTTTTCTCAATCTAAAATCTAGCGTATCATGCTAGTTCGGGGCATCAATATGACCTACACCAGTGGCTCCCACCGTGTGTAAACCTCACCCAGTGTTCCTGGCCATGCCTTTGCTAAACCAGCAGACTGTTGGAACATGCAGGTAAAACACAAATACATGCAAACAATGCGCACACACCCACACAGACACACACGTATGTACTGTGACATTACCCTGTGGTTGGTGGTGTAGACGTTGGTCATAGATCCATAAGGAGGGCCTGTTGGTTTGAGGCCGTTGTCAACATTAACACGACGGAGGGAATAAGCTAGCTCCTCTGGATCAACACCACCTCCACTGATCTACCAGTTGACAGCATGCACACCAGTAATCAACAAACAGAAACCAAAAGGACCAAACAAAATGAAGAATAGTGTCTAAAAACAAGGGGTTGGGACACACATTCATTCAGTCAATCTAAATGTTAAACGTGTTCAATGTTAAAAGCTGCCAAATACATTTTGTTTGGGGATTTTGGTCTAAATTCTGAACAATTCCCTTAGCAGTTAACACCAATTAATTTACATTTTTAAATCATGGTTTTTGGTAATATGTCATTCTCTACTCATCTACTAACAATCCATCTGATAAAAGATGATCAGAGATTTTGGGGGGGATCCGGCCAACTTCCTTATTTTACCGGTAATTTGTTTTCATAACAATTTAAACCGAGGAGGTACAAAGTTTTTGGCCAGATAATAATACTATCCACTAATTTACAAAAATTCAGATTCTACAAGTTTAAGATATATATATATATTTTTTTACTGAATTACCCTCCCAGACTGAGACATATAACCATTTCTGATTTCCAGCTTCCTCTTAAGTAAATGCTGTTTGTGAGTTGAATGAATGTGGAGTTGATCCTTTTCTGTACCAGAGATCCTAATCATGCATCGACAGCAGACTAACACTCTGTTTGGAGGGCCTTCTGTCAGAGAAATAACACAACTGTGAACCACATAGATGACGTTACAGCCGTGGTATCATGCACTAATACAGTAAGGGAGATGTGGTGTTTCAGGAGACTCAAACATGCACAGTCAGATACACTTTTGACATTTGGTATCATCAGGAATGGCATCGTGATTTTCTTTTTCAACCCCCCTCCTCTCTCTCTTCCAATGCCATTACTCTAAAAGCATGCAGCCTCAAACCAGAGCTGAGAGACAAACAACAAAAGTGTGTGTGTGTGTGTGTGTGTGTGTGCGTGTGTGTGTGTGTGTGTGTGTGTGTGTGTGTGTGTGCACATCTGTGTGCAGGTATGGATAGTAAGTAGCTTGTGGAATTTTCCATACCTTGCTCTTGCTCTTAGGATGCCGTCTGAAACGCAGCAGGTCTTTATGTTGCCTTGACACAAAGTTGACGGCGGCGTACTCCAACAGTGCAGAGAAGACGAAGAGAAGACACACTGCCATCCAGATGTCTATGGCCTTAACATAAGAGACCTTGAAAAACAAACACACACAGACACACACACAATAGGTAAAGTGTCAATCAGCGACATTCACCTACCAGAGGCTTTCTCACTCAACCCAATCTCAACCCTAGTTTGAACCTGGGTGACTTTAATAAGTCAAAAATATTCTTACACAAAAAGTTAATTTCACATCTCTTAATAATAATATGTGTATTCCTATTTTCTTCATCATTGTCATCATTACAGACATTGTTTTAGGGTTGCAGTTACTGCTCTTTCAAAGTCAACCTAAATCTAACCACCTCTTCATCATGTAATGATTTACATTATGGGGGAGTGCAATCGTCCCTATTTTATCCCCAAAAAGTAGGCAAGTCCCCACAGTTTGACTGTGTAGTCAGATTTATGTCCCTACATGACCGGTAAAACACGCACACACACACACACACACAAACACACACACACACACACACACACACACACACACACACACACACACACACACACACACTGCTGTGCCACTGATGCGTGTGGTGTTGAAGGGGCGCAACATTTCTTTATGAAATAATGACTTATTCAAACATGTGCTACATACTGGAGTGCAATGTTCTGTTCAGCACTGGAAACATGAGAAACCTCCTAACCTCTAAATACAGACACACGAGCACACACACCTGCACACACACACACACACACACACACACACAGTTTGTGTGATAGAGATGGGTGAGCTGATAATGGTTATGTAAATATTTTTTTCTCATGCATACAAGATATCAGAGTGAGGCTAAGGGACTCTTTCTTACACACGCACTAGCAGATACATGATGTCTGTAGTCAACACATACTTGTGCTTAACATGCACCAATAAAAATAGAGAAAGATTTCAGGTCTCAGGAGAGGGAATAAATCAATTCTGCCACACACACACACACACACACAAACAAATATGCGGCTATATTTTCATATACGTATATGTGCTGCACCAAAGGCCTGGAAGTTGAACCCTTTGAACCAGACGGATAACAATTCTAAATACTAAAAAAACTACATAAATGTGACAGAGGTATAGGCCACAGCTGACCGACGTGACTACTGTTCATCCATGCAGTAAAACTGCGTTAGAGGATGAGGGAAATGCTGTGGGTCGGCAACGAAAAAAAGCTGTGATGTCATGTCTCAGACCTCCGAGCCACCAGACCTTCCTTAAAGGGAAAGCTGGCCAATGGGACAATGACATGGAATAGTCAGAGTCGGAGAACCCTGAACGCATCATGGCTGGCTTTAAAAGTTGCAGCTGATGGAAGTTGCTCCAATCCTGCCCCTTTCCTATATGGAGATGAGGTCTGTGAAAGTAGCAGCTGACATCGTGTGTCACTATGTCACCCCCCCCTCCCCCCAAAGATGGGGAGTAGAGTGGAAAAGACTGAGCTGGCAAGGAGGTCCGTGAATGTTTCATCGCCCCCTCGCGGAAAGGCGCTATACCTGGAGAGGTGTATTTTAGCAGACACGATGGCAATTGTAAAAATTGTAAATAACAGGAGCAACAAAAAAAAACAAAAAAACTTTATGGTTCTTGTATCCCAATTAGAACCCTGACAACTCTCCTTTTTCTTTCTCTCTTCATTCATATACAGATGTGTGTGTGTTATTGAAGGCCTGTGGACAGGAACAATTACAATACATTCTAAATCGTCGCTTGAACATGTTAGTACCATCCAATGCCAAGTAATATCCTTGAGATCTTACCCTGTGCTAGAGGGAGAGCAACCCTGTACTGTAAACTGGCCAAGAAAACCAGCTGTCACAAGACAGACAAATACAGACAGACAACCATTCATACTCACATTCACATTGCAAGTTAAGAGCCTCTAATTCATCTAACCTGCATGTGTTGGGATCGGGGCACCTACAATATAACGATACACTGATTCAGATGGAAAATAAAATACACTTTGTTACATTTGTGTTTATTTCTATTTAAATTGTAACTGGTGTGCCTTCTTGGCCAGGTCTCCCTCTGAAAATAGTTGTCTATCTCAGGAGGCTTCCTGATTAAATAAAGTTAACATTTAAAAGATACGAATATTTAAAAATAATAATAAAAAAGACCTTGGGCAGTGAAGTGCGGGAACCTGAACTCTGTGTTGTCATTGTGAGGACAGTGGTGATGCCCAGTGCCACTCTGGCTGGGGCAGCATCCATGTTGATCCAGAAGGAGACCCAGGACAGAATGACAATGAGCAGAGAAGGGATGTACATCTGGATCAGGTAGTAGCCCATCTGACGCTCCAGGTGAAACCGCACTTCAATGCAAGTAAATTTACCTGCAACAAAGCGGAGACATGCTTCAAATAATATTTGCATATTTATAATTACAGGCTACATGTCTGAAGTGCGGGTTATCAGCAACAAAGATGAGGCACAGTGATGATCTCAAAAGGCACTGTTGGCTGTATCTACCTGTGCTTCAACCCTGCTTCACCAAGGCTTCAAGCCAGCCAGTGGGGCATGTTCACAGGTACGAACATGCACTTAAAGCACACATGGCCGGTCTGGTTTTCGTCAACAAAGCAAGAAGAAGCTCGGCCTAATAACACACGCAGAGGGAGAGCAACATCGCTCTCTGCTCAGGTAGACACTACTCCACTATCTTTACATTTCAAATAGTTGTTTGCTGCTATTTTAATGCTCTGAATGCCATATATTTCTCTTTTAATGAAAAGACAATATCAGTCTGGAGGGATGTTGTCACCAATGTTCATGTTAATAATGTCATTGTTTGTTTCTCCCATCTTCCAGCCGATTCTTTTTTTTTCTTGACTTGATTCATGCAGCACATGATTGATGAAATGTGGCAACCGTTTCAACCCGCGTGCATGTTACAGTGCCTGTGTCACGAAGCTTACGGTGTGTGCGTTACCTGTGTTGTAGTGCTTGGTGCAGTATCTGAGATCTGACTCATCTTTTAGAAGAAACTGTGGCAGCGTGAGGCCTTCGGCCATTTGCACTGATCCATTCTCCTGCCACTCAAAGATCAGGTCATTCATGGTGTAGCCAACTGAAAAAAGCGAACCACAGGATAATTTGATTATCACAATCAATAAAACATTGTGCAAAATATAGGTCATGGAGAAGAGATGCATTGATGTGTAAGCAGAACATTCATGTTTTAGGAGGAGATGAATTACTTTATACTTGTAAGTGCAGCAATCCATCATCCAGTTTGTAAGCAGCATGAAGGTTTTCTTTGTAACATTTAATCTGTAATGTCACTATACTAACTACTGTATAAAGTAGCAATAAATGGAAAAGCTCAAGATAAGTACAAGTACAATAACAATGTATTCAAGCACAGCACTTCAGTAAAGGTATAGTCCCCGGACCGTACTGCTGCACTGAGAACCATTTCAATGTAATACGATCATTCAATATTGTTCTCATTTACGTGTTGTCTCAAGGACTCAAACATATGTTTCCAGTAGGTGTTCCTCACTGCCCTGCCAGGGTACTCCCTTTATAATAATCTACTCTCTTTGTGATTTACATGGACAGGAACTAAAGACGCAGCAGGGGGGGGGGAAGAGAGAGTGTCCGGTTTGGGGACATCAGAATTGCATCTATGCTCTTTGCAGATGATGTGGTTCTGTTGGTTCCGTCAGACCGTGACCTTCAGCACGCACTGGGACCGTTTGCAGCCGAGTGGGAAGTGGTCAAAATGAGAGTCAGTACCTCCAACTCTGAGGCCACGGTTCTCTGACTGAAACCAGAGGATGGCTCACTCTGGGGTTGGAAGTAAGTCCGTGTCCCAAGTGAGAGAGTTCAAGGATCTCGGGGTCCTGTTCACAAGTGACAGTAAACTGGAGTGTGAGATGGAAAGGCGGTCCGGTGTGGCGTCAGCAGTGATGTGGGGCTTGTATCGGGCCGTTGTAGTGAAGACAGAGCTGAGCCTCACCTATGGTCATGAGCTATGGGTAGTGATTGAAAGAATGAGATCACGGAGGCATCGGCCGAAATGAGCTTCCTTCGTAAAGTAGCTGGACTCAGCCCGAGGCTGCATCCACTCTTCTACGTTTCCGTTTTGAAATGCATATTTTTGCATTGTTTACGCCTAGCATCCACACGACTTCGGAATTTTAGAGCAACTAAAACGAAGGAGTGTGAAAATGCTACCGACTGACACACTGTACATTTTCTGACATTTGGGGCAACCCCCAAATGCTGGCCCAGCAAATGGCAGAAATAACTTCTGCCACTCATTTGACCTACATTTCGCCAAGTGTTCACAAGTGTTCCAAATGTCAGATTCCTTGCTGCATATGTTGCTACACAATTACCCAGTGCCATATTCCCACAATACCTTGGGCTAAGAAACTGAGATTTGGACTGTACTATCGTCCCAGTCTATGGATTCACTGGTGGGAAAATGAAAAGAATTGGAACATTCTTTTTTTGAATTCTCAGCTAAGGCCCAGATTATGTTGAAAATTTAAATTCATCCAATTTGCTTCAAATTGGGTAATTTAGAGGGCTCTCCCCAGGGATGCACATTCAGTTTCAGCCTCCTAGCCCGGATCATTGTGCAGATATGACACTGTCAACTGTTGTTGACACTCAATGTCAGATTCTTAGTGAAAACTGTGTAAGAAGAAATTTCTTCTTAAAAATGATTGTTGAAAGAGGCCCATAAACAGCACTCAGCAAAATGTGCACTGATATGTATCTGTATATATTCTAGGTAGGTATACAATAAATCCCCATGCCATTACATTGTTTTCAGCTATAACTACTGTATGTGAGCAAATTACGACAGGCAGAAGTAGAAATGTAGAAATGAAGAAATGTAGTAATAGGTATCTGATGTAATCGAAAGAATACAAATGAGTATACCATTTCCTTGATTTCAAACCATAACATATACTTTGTTTCAAGCTTATGATTAAAACAAGGTTTAGGTTCTGTTATGGGAAAAGGTTGGGTTAGAGTAAGGGGCTAGGGAATGTATAATGTCAACAAGAGTCCTCACAAGTATAGAACTACAAACGTGTATGTGTGTGTGTGTGTGTGTGTGTGTGTGTGTGTGTGTGTGTGTGTGTTTATAATGTACTTACAGCTCTCCAGCTGCATGATACAGGTCTGACTATCCATAGGGAAGTTTTTAAGATCCATGGGACATGAGAGAGTTAATGTTAACCTGAAAGCAAAGACGGAGGAGAGAACAAGTGACTAGGGAGTCACATAGAGTGACATGGTTTCATGTCATACATTAATGTCGTACAGATGTACAGAATCAAAGCACTTTTATCTTTGCATATTTTATATTAATGCGGCACTAAGTCGGATATCTTTGAGGCTCCAAAATAGCATGGAATCTCGGCAATATCTAGGGTACACAACTGACATTTTTCTCTTGCTGTCTATCACATCCACTGAACAGAGTACAATCAGAAGGTTGGCAAACATATTGAAGACATACTGTACATAGAAACTTGCATGCAGCAATACAGAACTTCTATCAGCATCTCGTGTTTAAAGTGCCAGAGCTTTGAAGGCAGCTGTAAAATGGAGGATTTTCAGAAAACATTTTTTGTTCTGCGCTTGGAAATGAAGTTACTCTTTATTTGGATCTGAACAGAACAGGAGAAAATATAATTTTAGTAGTTGAGATTATACAACCCACATTATTTTGGGTTGTACTGTTCAGTGTGCATTATGTTGGAGGTAAGCATTCTGTTGGTTCATGCACTGCAAATCAAAAAAAATTATATCAGAAGATATATAAAATTAGAAAACATGTTGTGTTCAAAGAAATTCTTCAGTGTAAAAAGACAAATCAGAATGGTGCACTATCTTAAAGGGTACGTATGATGATAATGTATTCTTCCTAATGTCATGTTGCGCTGTGGGTGCACTGTGTGCCATGAAAATGCTAAAAGTATTTTCCCAAACGGGGCCTGTCCCACACTTACCTTATAGAGTACAAAACATTCCCATTCTTAAATATCCTGAGCAGTTTGTTATCTGTTGTGACTTCGTGAAAGTGGGCCCCCTTCTCATTGGCAAAGAACAGGTCCGGTTTCCAGATGGAGTCTAACATAGAGGGGTCCAAGTCCAGAGAATCATCTGGGTATTCAGAATAGGCGAGTCTGGGGTCGTTCCACTGCTGACGGAGGAAGATATTTACACGGTAGTCCTACAAACACAAAGAATAACATGCATGCATTACTCACAGGGACATTTAGAGGAACCTGAAGAAAGTGGTTGACCTCCCCAAACAAACCAGTATTATGAGCAGCTCATTCCAGGTATCATGGAAGATACAAAAATTGTTCTGTAAATTTATAAAAAAAGAATCGTTTGAAATAACCATACCATACTTCATGACATTTGGTTCATTTTCTTCTTTTATTTGGAACTTTAATACAAACAAAAATAACACTTCAAAAATCCAAACAGTAAAACTATAATTCTTTCAAAATGGAAGCTTTAAGGTTCCTGAGTTCAATAATTTCAAGTGTCACAGGTTGTAAAGTTACCGCTGCAAATAAACACCAGTCTGACAGCCACAAGTTAATACAACATAACATCCACACAAATTTGTATTTTAGAGCATACCAACAGAAACAATTCTGCAGGATTTAATTATCTTTCATTTAAAAAAGTTGACAAAATGCTCTGATAATCATGTAACCAGAGTTCTTTCTCATCTTGGGTTGGATGAGAAGCCTCCTACTGTTCTGTATTCACAACTTTACTTTCGTCCTCTATGTCTCTTGATGCTAAAAGATGGTCCGGGTGGCCCGGAGGGATGCTTGCAATTCTGCGCATGCACTATCCATCGGCTTCAAAACTCTCACCCACATGTGACCCACCAACCTTCATGTCTAATCAAATCACGTTACTTTGCGAGGGAGCTGGATTTGCGAGAACTCACAATAATTTCTACCGCGGTGGAAACGGTATTGCCAAATCTCTACTGGTGAAAGCATTTCTACCGGTGCACCATCAAATTGCCAAACCTTAAACAGTACAAGCTATTTCCTTAAGCAGGTTACCAAAAGTCAATATATTTATATAAACACTACACTTTCAATTTGACATATTTACACATATTTACACAAATGCGCACACATGTCCACTGATAATTTGCACAAGTGTAGCCGGCCAATCAGGACGTCCCTACCCAAATACACGCGGACCACTCAGTAAATAAGGCAGCACACTTCGCTGCTCAACATCCTAAACCTGATCAATAGAATAAAACAACATACTGACTCTCATACATCAAGGCAAAACCATTGAAAATAACCAAGAAGTTATCAGCTGCTGCGTTTACAGGCGAGCTGGTGATGCATTCACTAACCTCATCTACGGCTTAGCCATATTCATGTTCTCCCTCACCGATCTCCACGCGGGAAGGAGGGATTGGACTCAGTTCTGTGATGTCTGCTGAATCTATTTCAAGCCACCAGGAAATGGATTACCTCTCAACAGAGATCCAGTATCTGTTACAAAAACAGACTGTTTGTTTTCCCCACTCACAACAGCCAGGTTGTATTTTATATACTTCCTGGTTCCCAAGAAAACAGGAGATTTCAGACCTGTTTCGAATCACTGTATTGCCAGCCAGATGGACTTCTATAGCGCCTTTCGAGTCTTCCGACCACCACTCAAAGTGCTTTAATGTCATCAACACATTTACACCCATTCATACACTGATGGCAGAGGCTACCATGCAAGGTGGCACCTGCCCATCAGGACTAACTTATCAAGCAACACTCATACACCGTAGCTACAGCTTACGGGAGCAATCTGTGTCAAAAAGTGTCTTGCCCATAGACACATCAGAGACCAAAACCTCCGATCTTCTGAATGAAGGACAACCCGCTTTACCTCTGAGCCACGGTCTCCCGCGAGGTGGGAGCAGTTGTCGATCATTCTGGTAGCCCCAGGTCGCTGCATGGCAAAGTGGTGTGCAAAAATGACTCAGATGATGGCAGCCCAATCCTGAACCGTTCCCTAGCTCTGTGGGGCTTTGTCTCGGGAGGCTGGTGCAACAGGCGCATTGCCCACTGTGGGCCATACTCTCCAGGCTTGGCTCCTGAGAGGGACAGGCTGAGGAGGGCTAAACTGTGTGAGCAGGTGGTGTACAGGGCATCCAGGCTGAAAGAGCAGCATCCACCACTGCCTGTTATAGGGCAAAGTGGTGCGAGGAAAGGAGGTTCGGTCCCCTGTCCTGTGCAGTTGGCTCTATTTTCTTCCTGTTTGATGGATAGAGGGCTGTCTCATACCACTGTTAAAGTGTATGCTGCAGCCATTTCTTTCTGCCAAGAGTGTTTTGGCAACAGATCAGTCTGTGGTCACTCTTTTGTGAAGCGGTTTTTGCAGGGGGTCAGAACACAGCATGCGGTGATGCGTGCCTTCTCCCCACAGTGTGAATTGCCATTAGTGCTCAAGGCTTTGGTTAAGGGTCCATTTGAGCCTTAGGACTGCTCCTCTCAGAATATGTTGGGGTTTAAGACAGCATTGCTGCTTGCACTGACCTCAGCTTAGAGGGTGTGGAAACTAAACTAACTTCCCCGTTGGTGCACTCCAGTTGCTCGCTGCTTCGTGGTGGTCGCAGCGTGACCACCCTCTTTGTTACCAAGAACTTAAGGACTTCTTTCATGTCGAAAGTTATACTGCTGGATGCTTTTTGTCTTCCACCCATGCAGGGGAAAGGGAGGAAAGGTTGTGTTGTTATGTTGAACACATGGCCCTCATCAGGTCCACTGCACAGCTGTTTTGTGTGCTTTGGTAATGGTGTGACCAGTAAAGCCCTAAGAAATGCCCGACGGGATGGCTTTGTGAGTGCATCTCCTTACCCACCCACTGTGGTCTGCTCCCACTATAGGCAGTATGGCATATCTGCTGACTATGCTCATTGACTGGAAGTGCCTTACTCTTCCACTTCACTACACCTCCAACAGAGCTAAAGCCATTGCACGATGAACACAGATGTGGCTAATGAAATTAAACAAGGTGGAAATTTGATTGAGGTGTGACAGTCATACTAACTATAGGCCTACATGAGCCAGGTTTCCCCTGCACTCATGGTGCAACAAAAGTACCTTTGAGAAGCAGTTTAGCAAATTACATAATGCATTATCACAATCATATACTTATATCTAACTGTTCATACACTTTAATTCTGTGAATTCTGTTTTTTCATTACTTTTTACGCAATAGGTTGCCTAATTCTTAAGAGAACAAACATGTAATTATAATTGCTGCATAGGAATCATGCGACAGATTCATTACATTTCAGTATTCACTGATGCAGAAACCTAATCCGAGCTGGAAATGCAATTCACTTCACAGTGATTCACTGCCTGCCTGGGGTTACCCTGAATGTCTAAAGATGTGATTTCTGTTGGCAGGTAGAGAGTCCTTCAGCTATCAGGCTGCTCTCATCCAGCATTCGTAGCATTACCTACGAAAAATAATGCCCCGTATTTTGTAGATATTCTTCTGAATTGGACGGGTGCAACAACCAGTGATCTTTCAGCCAGCAGACCGCAGTTTGTTGCCCGTGTGAAACAAGAAGTCAATGTTCATGTTTTTGTCACGTACTTACGTACTTCATTAACGGCACTTCGGTGGTTATTTTAACCCAAACAACGGTCTATTTCTAAACTTTACTAAGTGGTTTTGTGACCTCAACCTAACTGTTTTTCCTGAAAGTTTATTTTGAAAAGATTGTATGCATTTAACAAGCGGAAATTGACTGCTGGCTTTCATGGGAATACCCATGATAAATGAGGAGTAACTTTACATGTCATACATATGAGGATACATTGCAGCTATTCAGTTATCAAAAGTCAAATTCAAAATAAATAAATAATGCAACTTTAAAGAACCATCACAACCAACCAGATACAAGTGCACAGCTAACAATAAAATAGTTAAATTAAAATCTAGCACAAATTTGAACAGTTTTTTTAATGCGGACAAACCTGTGGCATTAGCATGTCTCCCTGTACAGCCAGATAAACTAAACCCTGCTGGCACACACATGGAGAATGGATTAGGAGGGATGGAGAGATTGAGTGAACAAATGAAAAAAAAAGTCTTACAGTAGTTAATCTGTTTAACATAGAAAGCGTGTAAAGACCAGAATAAGCCAACCTGGCTTTAAGCCAACCTGGCTTTAAGCCCTGTGTGTGAGCATGTGCAACACTGGGCATGATTTCCTCCTGTCTAATTTTCTCCTCCCTTTCAGTGATGTAATGATAAAACAAAGAAGGGAAAACCGTGTCACAAAATAATAAGCATTATATAATTTTTGTTATTATTATGATAAATCATTCAATTGTTCTTTGAAAATAATATATTTTTATTTGAGGCACATATTCAGGCTCTTCAGATAATGTATGGTTCAGATAAGCTCTGAAAACAAGAGGGATTAGAATACATTTATGTGACTAAACTGCATGACATCACAATGTTATTTATTACAAATACAGCTTTAGAGACCATCTCTCTTATTACCACCTGGGTAATGATATCTGGGCTCAGAACAGGAAGAACTGCACTACTCGGGACACACAAGTATGGTCCAAAATCCAAAGTTTAATTCCAAACACAGGCAGGGGGTCAATAAACAAGAGGCAAACAGAGAAAGGCTCACTTTCTTTGTGTTTTGGACAGTATGTTTGGCGAAACGCTAACAGCTCACGGAAAGATAATTCCGTGCGGACTGGTTGCATACACCTCCGCTTGTTTTTGAGTTTGAATGAAGTGTATTTTTCAACACTTACAGCCTATTAGTTGCATCAGAAAGCTTGGTGAGTTTAATTTTGTTGTTGGCAAGATTGTATGATGTGTCTTATACGACGAGAGCCTAAAGCCTGTATACATCACCGCTTGTTTTTTATTTTGAATGAAGTGTCTTTTGCGACGCCTTACATCCCATTAGTGTCTACAAGGGGGGTTAGCCAATTGTGGGTTGTATTCATTCGATCACACAATACAGCAGTGGTCGTCGCTGACACACCTGGCGGACATTATTATTATCCATACTGACAGCAACAAATCCAACTGTCTAGAACGTAAAATACACTATTTATCGGTCTATCCATGCATCAATTATTTACATCCTACTTGTAAATAATATGCGTGAAATTATATCTGGCTAAAGTAATACTTCCTGTCATGTCACTAAAACCTATTTGAAATGTGTTACGTATGTGTTTAGGCTTACTGCATGGCACTCTCTTGTCTCTTAATAGGAAGTGAGGAGTGGGTAGATGAAAAGACAGATGGTGAGAAGAGAGAAAGGTCTTAATCCTAATGTGACATATGGCCGTGTACATACACATCTCTAACATGCTCCCCGCTCTCAGAGTAGGACCTTTAACACATGCCTGATATGCTAGTAAGGTATGACACAGCCTTCCCTTCCTCCAACACTAGCCGTTAGCTAATCCCTGGACATGGAGTAAGAACTGTGCAGCTTTAATTGTCTTTGGTGTTCTGGAACAGCATGACACAAGTAAAGAAACTTTAAGGAAAATGTTGTGGCTTGATATATACGCACACTTTACTCAATAGGACAAAGAAGTTACAATTGGCAAATGGACTTGTACTTATGACCACTTAAAAGCGCCCATTCACACCCATTCACACCCATTCACAGCCATTCATACACTGATGGCAGGGGCTACCATGCAAGGTGCCACCTGCCCAATAAATGCTTATAACTACAGACATCATCAAAATATAAACTGAAAAGGCTAAAACTGTAGTGGATTTGGCATCCAAGTAAAAAAAAAAAAAGAGAAATCATAATTCCCCAAGTTATATACGACAAACAGACAAAAAAAATGACACAAAGTTGGCTCAAACATACATATAGGCCCACTGAAATATTGTAAATTCTGTAATTTGACATGGCAGTTCGTGCTTGGCAGGCAAACACACCAGAAACACACACGCACGTACAAATGGCATATCCGTCAGAACAACTCCAGTGGTGCAGACAGCACTTAGACCCTGTCGCTTCAATCATCCATCCACTTTTCCATCCAACCATCTTTTGAGAAGGCTTCACTGATCACAAACAGTTCTGCTCTGCTTGCTAATTACGCAAAAGACGGACTACGACAGAAAGTGAAGTGGTGTTGGAGAGTCGCGAAGCATCACAAATGTGTTCATTTCAGACACACAGAAACGTACTGAATAGTGCTATCTTTCATTCAATCGATGGTGTCAACCAGTTTGGTACTTCAATTTATATAACAATGAATAAATGAATAATAACTCAAATTTTGGGATTGGCTGCCAATACCAACTTCAATCTTGGCAAGATGTGAAAAACTCTGAAACTGTTCAATAATTTACGGCAGGTAATAATTGACAAAATAATACTTTTAATACCTTTACTATCTGAACTATCTGCTTTCTATTTTCAAATATCTTACATCAATTATTCAAGTGTGAATTTGGCTTCTACAATATTAGATTAACTTAAAACACTGTACTCAATATAAACTGCAATCTACAATTGTACCACAACGGAAGAATCTCAACCGTATGCACTGAGAAAGGGAGCAAGGATCAAAGACTTTGTTGAGGTATCAACCTAAAATGTCCGAGACACACCCCAACCAAACCTACCTCTCTATTCATTTCCTTAAGCTATACAGCCTTCGTCCCCCTAAGCAGTCTGAGACGGTCTTGCATGTAGATATTGGGGGGTACGTTCGTTACCTAGGTCAGAAGTTACAGAACAAGCTGTCTTCCAGTGCCTTACCCACACTAGGCGGGTGTGACTGAAACATGCAATTATCCTGTCTGTGCACAGAGCAAAGATTAAGCCTTCTAGCCTAAACTCAAGATTTATCTATTTAATTGACAGGATTGAGCATTCTGTCAAGGACAATTGCATCTAGTTTAAAATTTAAGTTTGTCTGAAACAAGAAGCAAAGTGAAGATGCTCACAAATCACGAGTAATGTTCAACTTTTTTACCTTTAATGCACATAAAATTTCCCTTTTTAGTGTCTCTCCAACGATAAATTTATTTGTTTTTTACAGGGAATGTATTACGAGGAAAATCTGCCGTTATGGACGAGGATACATTTCACAGGGTTTGGGCTGACTTGGATGTTCAACTGCATTTATTATTCTAGCCAGAGAATAAATAAACTGCTCTCCGATGCCAACAGAGACGGAATAATTCTGCTGTGATGAATGTCAGTGTAGGCAGTTTGTGATGGATGCTGTCGTCGATAACCCATGAGAGAGAGAGTCATGTGTGCGTTACTATGCGTGAACGTTCTATTCCTCACATGGACAGTGGTGTGCTGGAGATAAACTGGAAAAGACAACCAAGACCTGCAGGACCGAGAGGGCAGATGACTGTGATGATTGTGTCACCTAACGCTATTGTAAGCTTTTTTGTTGAGTTGCGACAACAAGTAAAATAAGAGTTGTTGCTGTCTTCTTTCACGCAGGTTCAAACTAGAGAGCCTCAGGGTTTGTATTTTATCACCTGGGTAACGGCCCAACTCGGACACACTATGGTTTGGCCTGGCGTCAGTAGCTCGCCCGCAATGCATCAGGAGCAGGAGAACTCAGCTTTCTCGCCAATATATCACACACAAGGAATTCATTGCTTCACTGGACTACATTTTCCATCAACACTGATTGGACATCCATTTAAAAGGTGGCAATGTTTTTCCTTTAAGTTAAGATGCCGGAAGCACTCCTTGCAAAGAATGAAAGCACAGTAAGTGGATACGTGTATATGACTATATATATATATATATATTTAAATATTGTTTTAAGAATCCCCCCTGATGGAACAAGGTAAATGTAAAACATTTGTGTGTAAACTTTGTCTGTGACTTCATGCTAATTTAACCTTTACGCTAAGTGTTTCATGCAGCATCGATTCTACTTACCATGGTGGTTTCAGCAATGGACCCAAAGCTGTTGATGAAAATGTTACAGGAAACATTGACTGGAGGACCTGCAGAGTGAAAGATAGATACAATGATTACAGTAGATGGACATAATATAAATAATACAATTGTAGCACGGTTGGTTTAAAGGGTACCAACACATGTAACGAAAGCCTCCCTAAAAATATGTAGTGAATATGAGGTACAGTACAAGGCCCCAGGGGAAGAACATGCTTCGTAAATACATTTCAATCAGGAGAGACTTGTTTTATAATTTAACAATGATTTATTATACATGCATCAAATATGAAAAGTGCAAAGTCTTTGGCGATTGGACTCCATCCTGAAGTACTATCACCGAGGGAGGGTAGGGATACTGAGGTCCAATAGGCCTAATCCCCCCTGGAGTCCTGACACTGGTGGTGGTGGTGAAAGGAGTTGCTGCAATCTGATGATGAATCAGGAGCATGGCTGTGATGCTGACTGGAGGTGACTGGGGTGGGGGAGGGTCGCATCTGCTTAGCTGAAATGACAACTGACAGCAGCAGAGAGGAGAACACTATTTAAAGTTTGACAGCAACGATATGATTGGCTTCAGGAACCAGTGTGCAGAATCTGGTTGGTTACTTAACAGTGCACGCCCCCAATCAGCTGATAGAGTAATTACAAGGAGAGGAGAGACCGAGATTACGAGTGAGTGTCTTCCTGACTGAACTTGCGCTTGAGCTACATTTATTGCTACAAAAAAATGGAGCAGTGTTTGAAAAGTGATTGCACTCAATTTCGGGCTATCAGAAATACTCAATATTTATGATAAATAACATAATTTAACTTGCATTAAATTCAGCTCAGGGAAGTACCCTTCGAAAAAGGACAATTATAGCCAACTAATTAATTCAGTCTCAGTTCTGGAGGTTGATACGTAGTTCTTGACTTGTAAACAGTGACCAGAATACTGAGTACGTTTCTGAGCTTTTTTCACCAGGACATAGATGTGTGAGGACCAAGTCAGGTTCTCTGTGATGCTGATTCCCAGGAACATTAAAGGCAACATCAGAGAAACATTGTCCATCAACATTAACTAACGTTTGATCACCAAGCATCATTTATGTAAAAAACAGAGTCCCCCCCCATACGATTCATACGTCTGTCAGCCCGTCAAATGCAATAACTAGAGCTGGGCAAAAAATCATTGTCGTTGAATAATTCAAATTCATATTTTAGGACAGTGTTTAAAATGTTTCCCTTTAACTTGCAAGAATGCAGCACAGTGGGAGAAGTATGTGACACTGCGAGTTTCACAAGAGGACGGGAGCCCTAAAACATTTGTGGAATTATTTTCTCAAAGTATCTCTTATGATAAAAAATTTGAGCGTAAATGAAAATGCCGGAAGTGGAAGACCCGCCTTCTGACCAATAAAAAAAGAAGTTTGAGGGAGCTACTGGTCGCTGAATGTGAATGCGGCGCCATTCACATTATCCTGTTTTTATCTATTAAACAGCATCCCATCTTTATTTGTCGGGATTAGTGAATATGTGTAAACCATTACTGAAAGATCAGTGTCTATTGGTCGTGCACCAAATTAGCACAATTTCCTATTTTTCCTATATTGTTAGCTAAAGATAACATATCAATTAGTGTACATGAATTTCTGCATTCTGCATTTAAGTCAGTCCTTCTGTCATTTGACTCCTGAGTTTAAAGTGCCATCTCTGATATCACACTTGATCACTTATGACCAAAAACAAATGTGTGATGGTGTCTGTCCACAGAGACTATGCCCTCTGCTTGTATTTTCTCTTTTCTTCTTACTTTGCTGTGTGCCGAACACTCCCGCGCCTAGCCAATGACAGCGTGCAGGGTGTGCTGCCCATTCAGGGTGTCAAATACCGCCCCTATGGCGTGACAACTTTGGCATTACATTAATCGGCACAAGGCCAACTTAAGCTCTATCGGACACAAAGCAGACATATCTGATGGATGAGAACGTATTGTTACATCACCTCATTTTCCCCTGCTCCTCCGTCTCTCTCTGCTGTGTGCAGACTGCCTGGCCTATCTCAATCTCCACAGTCACGGACTGACAGACTTTAAAGCGTGCTCCCGTAAAATCCGCATAAAACACTCTCTCTCTCTCTCTCTCTCTCTCTCTCTCTCTCTCTCTCTCTCTCTCTCTCTCTCTC